CCCCCCCCCCCCTCAAGTCGGGTAAAGTATCTGGTTTCCTGTCGTGTTAAAACACTAGTGTCGCAACAGTATTGATTCAATGCACAACAACCACGATATAGTTGACAAGAGAGACTGAGGTTGGATATAACAAGATGATATATTAAATTTATCTATAATATATATCTATCTAGAACTAGATATTAAGGCGTGTTCAGAGCTGTCACATGGCAGTGTATAAACTAGAAAAAAAAATATAATATTGTATCCCGTAGTATCCAGTCAACACCACCGCTACCCTGCCTTCACTAGCTATACTTAATCCTCAGAAGCAACTCACAGTACGCATGCGCGTAATATTTCGGGACACGCGCCTTAGATCATCCTCCAAAAGCCGTATAACCTGACCCCCCCCCCCTTCTACTTCCTCTGTCTTGTTAGACAATAAACATTAATAGGAAGAGAACAGAAAATCAAATAATTTCTCAAAAATGTCATTAAAAAATAAACAAATAAAATATAATTAACGTACTGTGCACCAACACGACACGTAACTTAATTTCGATCGTTTTCAATCGTTTCTTTTTTTAGTTTAAAATATCAAATGATATTTTCGAACCAGAGATATTTTTTGATTGGTTTGTTTAAAAAAAATGACTAATAGAATCGTCTATAAACAGCTTTGCACTTAAAAATCACAGTAACTTTGGCAATCTATTGGCAAAGTAACCAGCTTTAATATCAATAGTTCAAAAGATAAAAAGCAGCAACAAAATCGTAAAAGGCTCAGTTATTAACATTTTGTATTTTTTGATACTTTTTTATTTCCTTTGCTTTAAAACTATGTTTTTTATCCAAAAAAATGTATTTCATGGTAAACATTGTCAAGTTATCTGCTCTCAGGGTTTTACAAGGTTTAGAATATAAATAGAATTATTTTGAAAATTAATTTTATCATGCTCAATACTAGTTGCTAAAAGTACATCATAAGCCAAATACTTGAATTTTCAAGTAACTATATCTGAAGAAATATTTAACCTATCAAAAACCAAAAAGTCTTAAAAAAGTGTATAATTGGGATGTTTTTAAGGGGGGTCTCGAGCTTGCAAATTTGATTTGAAGTTCAAATTAACGAGTTATTTTCAGAAAAATTTTTTATTTTCTATTTTGCACTTCAATATAACTGTAAATGCTGGTGGCCCCAAACTATGATTCTCTAATTCCTTTATCTGTGAAACCCAAAATCATAGACCTACTGTGAGATCAAATAATCTAAGCTTGAAATATCAAAACCACACTTGCCTGGTTCCAAAAGTATAGGGATGAGAAAATTTGAGATATATTTTACTAAAGATTTTTGCTCTAGATATGGGACCACATGCCCATTTCTAACACTCAGTGAACTAGAAATGGCCCAAAACATGCTTTAGAACTAATATCCCCTGACATTAAGTGAAAAAATACGGCCGCTTGTATACCAACATTTAAAGGTTGTGCTATCATAACTTTTACATGATTAGCTTAGAAACAAACTGCTAGATTTAGATTTAAAACAAACAAAAAAGCAATATTAAATCTAGGTTTGGCAATATTGTTGGCAATTAACTTTGCTATAAAAAGGCCTGGCAAAGCAGTATTTTCTTACCTTTTATTATTTTCAAGGTAGATAGACAATAAAATATTTATTGTTTACATTTAATCTATTGAGCTTAACACTTTGAAGACTGTTCTCTATCTATCTGTATATCCATCTTTCTATTTGTCTATCTGTCTGTCTATCTGTTTGTCAATCTGTCTGTCAATCTGTCTATCAATCTGTCTATCAATCTGTCTGTCAATCTGTCTGTCAATCTGTCTGTCAATCTGTCTGTCAATCTGTCTGTCAATCTGTCTGTCAATATGTAGATCAATCTGTAGATCAATCTGTAGATCAATCTGTAGATCAATCTGTNTTATATCTGTAACCCCCAGGTTTATATCTGTAACCCCCAGGTTTATATCTGTAACCCCCAGGTTTATATCTGTAACCCCCAGGTTTATATCTGTAACCCCCAGGTTTATATCTGTAACCCCCAGGTTTATATCTGTAACCCCCAGGTTTATATCTGTAACCCCCAGGTTTATATCTGTAACCCCCAGGTTTATATCTGTAACCCCCAGGTTTATATCTGTAACCCCCAGGTTTATATCTGTAACCCCCAGGTTTATATCTGTAACCCCCAGGTTTATATCTGTAACCCCCAGGTTTATATCTGTAACCCCCAGGTTTATATCTGTAACCCCCAGGTTTATACGAAAGAAAACATATAAAGTCAAAACACTTCAAAGGAATACAACGAAAAGGTTAAACTCTCATGTTTCTGAGAAATTTTGAATATTCCAAAATTCCGGAAAGGGGGTCGAAAATTCGTGTGAAGCGAGAAAAAAATGGTTAAATAGTTGGTGATAAAACTAATAGGAGGGGGCCAGGGGGGGGTCTAAAAATTGTTCTCAAGGACAAACCCAAAAAAATTGTTCCCAACCCCTGGGCCGTTTTTCCAAAAAAGGCCTAAAAACCACAACTGAACTCTGGAATTAAAACATGTGTTTTGTGTATGGTCCACAAACAATGGTGGTCTGAATATTACAATTAAACAAGAGTGGTTACTGGTTAAGCGTGGGTAAGAAAGCATTTGAAAACTCTTTGAAAGCAAGAACTGACAGGTTTAAACTTGTATAGAAGTACGACGACAACTAAACTTATTTTAAATATATGATGGTGTATTTATCATATAGCGTTGTTCTTAAATTCATCACTCGACCCCCTAGCCTGGGTAATTTTCTAGAGAGCGATTTTTGGACCCCCCCCCATGACCCAGAAATTGTCTTAAACAAACCTAAACCTAAATATGTGGTCATGTAAAAAATTGATAGGAGGGGGGGGGGAGGGGGGTCCCAAAAATCGTATAAAAGGACGGACCCAATTTAAATATCACACAAATTATTGTAACTTATTGTAAATATTAGGAGTATAACAAATAATTGAACCATTTCCAAGTCATTATTCTTCAAGTTATAGATGTAATATTACACCTTTATTTCGTTTTATGCTTTTTAACTTTAAGAGTTTTCACTTTCAGTTTATCCTAATATTTACCACAAGGCCTTGTAATCACAGTTTTCTTTCACCTTCTGTTCGTCACTAACAAACTATAAACACTTTACAGTACTGACAGCTTCTGCTGAGCCGGAGCCTGTGTGACTGACGTCACGGGCCCGTCCCAACTGGGCCAACTAGTTAGTCACACAATACCAGTGGTAGTGAATCATCCATCCTGATTGGTTAAACATTTCGAAATACTCTCTTCTCATTGGTGAGACACAGAAAGAGGTTTAAAGGGCGGTTGAGTCTAATAAATGACGCAATTTTTAACGGTCATTTTTAAATCTCAAAAATAAAGTTAATAAGAAAAAATCTACTGCTGTCTCAAGAGTCAACTGCAGTCTGCAAACTGTCTCTATATTAGAGTTAACATTTAATCATCATGATTCTGAGAAAACAATTTTAAAAGAAATTGTAAATTTTTTACCCATCTCGCCGACTATTCTGCACTCGCATGCAGTTCAATTGTTACAGCTCCAGGCGCGCAACTGCAGGGTGTCCCACCAGTGGCGTAGATAGGGGGGGGGGGGCAGTATAGTCGCTCCCCCGGGAGTTTCTTTTGGAGCTCCGCTAATACACGTACCTCTTTTGGTCTTGGAGCTCCGTTACTATAACTCCTCTTTTGAAACTCCGTTAGTATACTCCTTTTGGAGCTCGTTACTTATACTCCTCTTTAATATAGGGTTAGTTTAGTGCACCTATGCTACACCTTTTCTAAAGCACTGTTGCTAAACCCCATTGGAGCCGTCCAATTGAATTAATTATTAGATATTCCTTTAAATTGAATTGAGGTAATTAACATATGCAAACATTAAATAAATGTATTTAATAAATGTCTTTACTATAAGTATAAACATGCATGTGATCTATGGGATATCTTAATATATGACTTTGAGTAGGGACGTATTATACATATTTTCAATCTGCTGAATTTGTCCTTATGTACCGCTTAATGCTGAATTTACTTTAGATTAAAAACACCAGCTATTCGTCAGTTATTTACGATTTTTTAATTTAAATTATGTCCTATGCAAAACAATTGTGATTAATTTTTGTAAACAACTTGTTATATAAATTGAATAGACCCATAAAGATTTGAATAATAATAATACTATATTTTCGATCAGAAATCTTCTATTATGGATTATGGACAGACGAAATAAAGTCAAGTACTGCCAGGAAATACAATACATGGTCGGTTGTGTACATCACTATATGTTTACATATCTAACACTGTACACTTGTATATGAGTGATTGTATTTTTAAGGGAGATTTTATGGAATTCACCAATTTTTAGATTTTCTTTCTTTATTTCACAGCAAACATTTGACAATTATCAAATTTGTAGGTTTTCAATTTATTAGCAAAAATATTAACTTATTAAGTTTCTAGGGCATGCCTTTAGCTTAAAGCATTCTTATTTCAAACATTTTTTTTTCATCTCTTAAACTCTTTATTGTAAACATGACAGTGTATGCAGGGTTACCCACAAAAGAAAGATAAAACAATGATGACGACCTGGAGCTCTTAACTTTAAACAGGCTGGGGGGGGGGGACGTTTGGCTTCCCCCTCTAGTTTTTTGACTAATTTTTTCACTTTTCATAAATAGAAATTTAAAGGATTTTTTTTGTAATTTTTTCATGCATAAGGTAGGGTGCAGGGCGATAAAAAACCGGAGTATGTAAACAAAATCTAAAATAGGCCATAACTTTTTTTATGACTAAAGCTACAGATCTGAAAACTATATTATTGAAAAGCCCTTGAAAAATGGGTGTTAAAACACGTGTCACACTTTGATATTTGTTTTAAACAAAAAAAATATTTTTAACATTTTTTCGACCTTTTTGCATAAAAGTTGTCGATCTAATTTTATTTCAATGAGCTGGCCTTGAAAAGTTTGGCTATGAACATGCATTTAAACCCTATACCTATTCGCTAAGGCCTTTTTCTGAGAGGGGGGGGGCGTGGGAAGTGGGAAGCCCCACTCGTCTATACATAGATTCAGACCCCCCAGCCTTTATACAAAAAGAATTGTTTTTGCACTTTTTCGCAATGCAATATTTAGTCCTACTTTTAATAAAATAAACAAACAACTGAACTTGAATGCACTGCAGTATACAATCCTGTGTTTACAATCCATATTAAGTGTCTATCTAATTATCAATACTAATATTCAAATATATATAACATAAAACCACCCCTTAGAAATACGATCACTCTATATACAAGTGTACAGTGTTAGATACGTTAACATAACGTGATGTATACAACCGACCACTCTATTAATTAATTGATAGGGAGGTCGGAATTATGTACATCTGACCTAAGCTCACCTCTTCGTTTTATTACTCTAGCTATGAGGCCTACGATTAAGGGACTATATAGTGGAAAAATATGACTAGAAAACGAGTTTCAAAAAACTGTTGTAGACTGGGGGACTTTATATCATATACAGCTGTCCCACATATATTAGACCGAGAACGGGTCTGAATTACGATTTTCGGGACTAATCAGAAAATTTTATTAGAATTAATCATTTTGAAAAATAACATAAGGCTTATATTAGAATTTTCTTGCGGAAAATAATAAGTTTTTCGAGTATTAAGGATTTATTTTGTTGTTAAAGATTAGAGATAATCTAATATGATATGGGACGCTCTGTACTATACTATAGATTTTATAATGGTATGATTGGTAATTATGTATTGTCCAAATTAATATAGATTTTAAGCTTTATTTTTTTCCTAATACGGGATTTATGAGGGGATGCACATCAACCGTTAGGGGGGTGCACAAAAAAAGATTTCGGCGCACTATAAAAGTGCACCCCCTAGGCTAAACCTCTACTACGCCCGGCTGTTTTTCGACAGAAAGAAAAACCGAAGGCGACGATTATTCCGCTGTTTTCTGGTTAACTCTTTATATAATACCTCTGCTGGAGCCAATTCTATTAAAACACCTCGCTATACAAGCTGCCTACGCCCAGGACTCCAGGCACTGCAGTGCACATTGTGTCGCGTAATTCTGCTAAAAGGTTGAAAACCATAATAAAATACGAAACAAAGAATAAAAGCAAGGTCTAGCCCTGAACCATCTCATTCATTCACATTCACACACAAAGATATTGATCTTAGTTTATACTGCTTGTTTAAACCTGATTCAAGGTCATTCGTGGTCTATGGGGGGGATGGGTTTTCTAAAAAAATGAGACATGTGCATACTGAAATTGTATGTCAAGGTTTAAAAAATTCTAAAGAATGAGTCACAATGAAATTTTGATACATCTTCCACGTAATTTTGTGCCTTGTATAAAACGGTGTCGTTACACTGGGGGTTAGGCTCTCCGCCCTCCCCCGCCCCCGCCTCCTCACAAAACTTCTCAGTTGAGGGCCTGGTTGAAGGGGCGGATAGGATTTAAGTGAGGGGGTGCTAGATGGATATTTTTCTTGTTTTACACAAGGTTTTCTTTCCCTTAAGTGCTATTGAGAAGCTATTCTGAAGTCCCAGGGGGGTGCGAAGGTTTTGCCGCCCCCCCCCCCCNAACACTGTAAACTACAATATATAGGACAGACAACAAGATCTTTAGATGAAAGAGTGAGAGAACATATTGGTTACATTAGAAATCTCCATACAAACCAGCCTACAGGAGAACATTTTAACCTTCCTGGACATGAACTCTACCATCTAAAAGTTAGTGTACTTTGGAAGGGTTGGGACCTCGGAAGAAGTTTACTTGAAGTACGAGAATCTAAATACATTAGAGATTTTATGACTGAACTCAGAGGAATGAACAGAAAAAAAAAGTTTTTATTTAATTGTAAACTTTTATTCAGTATCTTTTTTAAAAAAGAGTATTGTTTATGTCCAATTCTTTAAAAGGTTTAAATACAGCTCCTTAAACAAGCCGTCCCCCCCTCCCCCTGATATACGCAAAAGTTTGTTAATTAGTTCGACCCCCACCACCACTCTATACACATACATCTAAACAGTTTGTTTTTAACCTTTGTGACAGAAACAATCTCAAGGAATAATAATTGTCTTAAAACATTTTTTTTTAAAGTGAATATTTGCAAATTATCTTTTTTCCATCTCATAATCTGAGTTCGTTTCCCTTATGTCCATTTGACAGCACAAATTTTTATTTTGAATAATCTTTTTTGTTTGTTTATTTTCTTGTGATTTTTAACAAAAAAAAATTTTTATCGATTTTAATGGTAATTATATCGTTAGAACTGACAACGGTCAACCCAGACCGAAATATATTTTCAATAAATGTGGAACTAACATCTACTTTTTTTACTCTACAGAGGTTTAGTTCATCACCATCACCGAATTTTAAATGTCTAGTAGTTACAGCTTTATATTATCCTGAAAGATAATAATTTATTTCAATACAAACGGTATTTTAAACTTTTTTGTCTTTTCTTAGCACTGGGTTTTCTTGGAATTGATGGTGGAATGAGCGCCATGAATTCCTAAAAATATTGCAAGAAAATCAAAGGGGAAAATAATTAAATAAAACATGTTAAACAGTTAAACGAACCATGCAAATTATGAAATCTATTGCTTCAAACCACAGAATCAAATTCTCTCACGTATTTATTTTAACACAAATATGAACAAAGAATTCACGGTTTGTTTATCTCTCCCCTTCAATTCATCCTAGGGCTAGGATTGGACTTTTTTGTCTAATTTGATTTGGAATAATTCGAAAATGTGTTTTAATGAAAATCTTGAATAAATAAATTCTGAAAAATAATTTATGATTGACATTATAGGATATATGGATGGAATAGATATTTAACTCAAATTTAAAAAACTAGACATTTTCTAGTGACAATTTTAATTTTTAACTACCTTTCATTTTTCAAGTCTCCATTTTTTCTTTCCTTTTCATAAACAAAAATTTCGTAGATTTTTCTGTTTACAAGTATCCAAAAATTTTAAAAAGTCGTATTTTTTCTGTAGCGTAAGTTTTGAAGCTTGCATAAATCTTCCCTTGGGTGATATTTGTTAGAATTAATAAATGTGCCTGTTCGGTTCAACCATTTTTATGTTTATTGGATACAAACTAACAAACCAACACCCAACCCATGACAAGCATAATATACCTTTAAAGATAAATATATTGGGGAAATTTGAAAACCGTATAAAACACAGTATATTATAATATATATATACACTATATAGAGCGCAGCATTGTGTGAAATATGATGCCGTATAATAATATTTATGTGTCAATCAAATTAATCACAGCATTTTTATGTAATTGTTAGATAAAATAAAATTTAATAGCATTCTTTATTGATGCGTGGAAAATGAAACCATACCTTCATGTTTCACAACATAGCGGTGTATAAATGAATGAATTACTATAAAATATTAATTCTATTCATTTGAACTGCCTACCGCCGCGCCTTCCTTGATCTTTAACTTTGAATCAGTGGTTCAAATTTAAACCGTCAGTAGCAATTTAAGCGACATAGCTCAAATTAATTAAATTCGGCCCAGGAAAAATTTTAAATTTTACCTTTTTTTGTATTACATTCCTTCATACGTAAAACGTGTTTTCAAATTTACTACTGGAGTTACCGATATGATATACCAGTAAATGTCGAGGGAGGGGGTGCAGAGGCGCCATGAGCACTCAAAAATGACCTCCGAGTCTCCATATTTGCAGAATGACTTCCAGGCCCAGCAAAACCGCCTCTGTGCCTCTCGCTACGTGAGCCTCCACCATTCTGTCTCCACGCCCCGCATCTTGGTCTCCAATAAAAAATATTTGGCTTTTACATCCACCAAAAACCTTTTTTTTCGAAAAATCTCAACATGATAAAATAGATTATAATGATACATGTATTTTTTGTTTATCTAAATTTCACAAATTCCTTCAATTGTAAAGAACTATTACAGTTTTGTATAAAGATAGCAAATTTTATATTATTTCACAATGGTTTCATGTACTAATCAAACGATTTCAGCAGCAATTCACAAAACACAATAGTTTCTGTGAAATTCTTAAATTTGTGCTTTTATTGTATATGCTTCAGAAAACACTAGCTACTTTTTTAAGTTGAAGAAATTTTTTTTAAATAGTCTAAATATCTATAACATGCTATACTAACAGGACTCTATACTCTATGCCTAAAAGGGACTATAAAACCAAAAAGAACCACCAAGCGTTATGTTAATCTAAATATTAGAACAATTATACACACAAAAACAAAACAAATTGTTCGAATTTTCAACCCTAAATATAACGCATTCACGAAGCAATATATACGTTGTATTCTCATTTTTTCTTTCTAACAAGTTAAATAAAAGAATTATATCATGACAGAATAGCAACAAAAAAAGGTTATATAATTGTTTTATTTGTTTAAATATTACAATTTTACAAATAAATATGTACGTTGAAACAAATTCTACAAAAATAATATCACAGAAATTTATTTTAATAATATTTAATACTAGCTTGGGAACCCAGCGCTGCCCAGGTAACTAAAAGTTACTCCCGCCAATTACCCGCACTTAAACATTCTCGTGGGTTTCCCGAGTTCCTCAATCAAAATTTGAGGCAAAACGGTCAAGGGGTTCCCTAGTTATGATATATACAGGGTGTCCCACGAAACATGACAATAGCAAGACGACTTGAAAGTCGTCTTTGATATTTGAATTTATTTTTGACATTTAGTCTTCTATCTACTTTAACATGTGTGATTCTTGAACCAATTATCACACAATTCTCCTAGCCCTGACATTTCCAAAAAGTGGTCTGCGTTTTTTGTGCTTTCAATATTACCGGAGATATAAATCTCTCTCCTCTGTTTATAGTATACCCTTGTATTATATTGATCTGCTGCAGAGCTAATCTAACTCTCTCCTCTGTTTCTCTTCCCTCGACTATAAGTCTCGTCTTGTTACTCAAAAACCTCCTAAATAAATTCAACCTGTTATAAATATTAAGGTTGCGATTTTTAAAAAATGTTAAGAAAAAAGTGTAGAAGAATTTCATTTTGGCAACAGATTTAAAGAATATATTCTCTAATGGTGTGCAGTGTGCACGGTAACCCTTAATTGATATTGAATACGACCATCTTTGCATTCAAGTTTAAGTTGTATGCCTGGATCGCTCAGTGTTTAAACCTGAATTGTATAGGACACGCCGATCCAAATAACATTCTTAAAGGACTGTGTTCTAACTTTCATGGTTGACTTGTCGTCAATGTTTACAGTTTATTCCCCTAAGAACTGAAAACTTGTGACTACCATGCTTCTCCACAGCAAATAAAAGCAAAATAAAAATGTCCGAAAGTTTTCGCTTTCCCGAGTGTTAAACTTGTAATTAACCCCATGGTAACTCAGGTTTGATTTTAGGATTAGATAAATTCTATGACTTTAAAATGATGAAACGAAACTGGAACGATTTTATTCTAATTCAGCCCGGACATGCTCAGCTTCAGTTAAAGCGTGACCCAAATAATGTATTAGAAAAAGTATCTAACTTAACTACCCTTTAGAGACTTTTATGGTTCCTGGTTTACAGAGTATATTTGTTTTCCCGCGGAAGCTTCAGGTCCTTTGTGATATTTGTGCCTCGATATTTAAATGTTCCCCTTCAGTATATTCTTAAATCCGCCCTTGTCATAAATATATATTAAATAGAATATATTGAATATCCGAGCTGGACCAAACTTTGAGTTCCTAGTTTGGACCGTACAATTACTAAGGCGGCAGACCTGTGTGATTCGATATTATTCGATTTTAGAATTTGGAAAACTTCGTACCAATGCTTCATTTGAATCTTCCAGAAGAATGAATTCTAGAATTTGGTGAATGATTGCAACCTGTAATTCATTTCATCTCTCAAGTTCATTTGTGATTGCCTAAAAATAGAGTCGTTTTATTATTTACATATTGACCATGAACATTTTACTTATTTCGTGTGATTTCTTCAATAAATGGACAAGAAACTTGCTTCAACTGTAATAAATGCTCTAATCTAAACATCTGTCCAACATGATGTCGCTAAATTCTGCGAGAACAAATAGTCAATGAATGATAGAAATATGAAAAACAGATTGCAAAAACATATTAATTAAAAAGGTATGCACTTTCTTTAAAAATCAAGTTTTGTTTCCGAATTTACCAAAATGTTGAAAAAACGTTAAAAAATCAAATTTTCCTTTTTCTTAAACAATTTTTTAATAAATAAAAATAATGTTCACAAGAAACTAGAATATCCGCTTCATTATTCTATAAATTGTTAATTTATTTTTATTGAAAAACTTGGAAACTGATTTTCAGAAAAATTTGTTATTGGATTCCTTACAGGTTTCAAGATTCTTTCTTCTTCCTTCTCAAATTAGAGTAATTTTTTAGGGAAAGGTTTTTATATTTTCAGTTAAGGACAGATTTATGAATTTCCTCATTTTCAATCTTAAATTATTTTCTTGCTGTTTTAATGTTTACAGTCCTCTGTTTAGAGTATACCCTTGTATTATATTGATCTGCTGCAGAGCTAATCTAACCCTCTCCTCTGTTTATAGTATACCCTTGTATTATATTGATCTGCTGCAGAGCTAATCTAACTCTCTCCTCTGTTTCTCTTCCCTCGACTATAAGTCTCGTCTTGTTACTCAAAAACCTCCTAAATAAATTCAACCTGTTATAAATATTAAGGTTGCGATTTTTAAAAAATGTTAAGAAAAAAGTGTAGAAGAATTTCATTTTGGCAACAGATTTAAAGAATATATTCTCTAATGGTGTGCAGTGTGCACGGTAACCCTTAATTGATATTGAATACGACCATCTTTGCATTCAAGTTTAAGTTGTATGCCTGGATCGCTCAGTGTTTAAACCTGAATTGTATAGGACACGCCGATCCAAATAACATTCTTAAAGGACTGTGTTCTAACTTTCATGGTTGACTTGTCGTCAATGTTTACAGTTTATTCCCCTAAGAACTGAAAACTTGTGACTACCATGCTTCTCCACAGCAAATAAAAGCAAAATAAAAATGTCCGAAAGTTTTCGCTTTCCCGAGTGTTAAACTTGTAATTAACCCCATGGTAACTCAGGTTTGATTTTAGGATTAGATAAATTCTATGACTTTAAAATGATGAAACGAAACTGGAACGATTTTATTCTAATTCAGCCCGGACATGCTCAGCTTCAGTTAAAGCGTGACCCAAATAATGTATTAGAAAAAGTATCTAACTTAACTACCCTTTAGAGACTTTTATGGTTCCTGGTTTACAGAGTATATTTGTTTTCCCGCGGAAGCTTCAGGTCCTTTGTGATATTTGTGCCTCGATATTTAAATGTTCCCCTTCAGTATATTCTTAAATCCGCCCTTGTCATAAATATATATTAAATAGAATATATCTATATATTACCTATATTTAACAATATATTAGATAGAATATATCTATATATTACCTATATTTAACAATATATTAAATAGAATATATCTATATATTACCTAATTTAACAATATATTAAATAGAATATATCTATATATTACCTATATTTAACAATATCAGCAGACTGAAGATATTTTTCCACTAGTTGACAAACTTCGGATGCTCTTCTTTCAACAAAACTTTCTAAATGCCGCGCATCCTTCAAAATTAAAAAATGTGAAACCAAAAACTCTAATTTTTGATTTTTTAATCTTCAAATTTTTTTAATCTATACATATATTTTCTAAGATAGATTGTGCTAGATCAAATCGCCGAAGTTAAAAAAGGAAGGGTTTTCACAAACAAGGTGCCAATTAATATGACTGTAATTTAAAGTGACCTTCAATTCGTAATATGGAATGTCGGATTCACAACAGTGAACACTGCACAGTGTACACACACTTCATGCTAGTGTACACTTGCGAGGTTTCTCGGCATGTAATTTTTGTAATTTTTTAAGAAGTATATATCTAAATCTAGGGTGTAAATCGCACATGTTACTTTATAAATGGAGGGTTACTTGAAATTACGTTCCCAGTACCTTTATTTCAAATATCATATTACTGTTTCGAAACATATTTGATTTCTTATTTATTTAAAATTAAATTTTTTCAAAAACCTCAATTTGTTGAAGTATTTTCTCCTTCTTCCTTGATATAATACTAATATCAGCTTCAACACAATAGTAGAGATTATTCTCTAACCGCGCCAGACAACCTAGGAATTCTTTACTTAATCGATGAAAAAAGACCGAACTTTTTAGAATTGAAAAAAGCTAAGTCAATTTTACCCTGCAGGCGCCTGGGGGCTAGGCTAGCGTGCACCTGCAGGCGCCTGGGGGCTAGGCTAGCGTGCACCTGCAGGCCCCTGGGGGCTAGGCTAGCGTGCACATGCAGGTCCCTGGGGGCTAGGCTAGCGTGCACCTACAGGCCCCTGGGGGCTAGGCTAGCGTGCACCTGCAGGCCCCTGGGGGCTAGGCTAGCGTGCACATGCAGGTCCCTGGGGGCTAGGCTAGCGTGCACCTACAGGCCCCTGTGGGCTAGGCTAGCGTGCACATGCAGGTCCCTGCGGGCTAGGCTAGCGTGCACATGCAGGTCCCTGTGGGCTAGGCTAGCGTGCACCTGCAGGCCCCTGGGGGCTAGGCTAGCGTGCACATGCAGGTCCCTGCGGGCTAGGCTAGCGTGCACATGCAGGTCCCTGTGGGCTAGGTTAGCGTGCACCTGCAGGCCCCTGGGGGATAGGCTAGCGTAATAAGATTTATAAAAAAAAAACAATTTATTTCAAATAAGTAATTAAAAACTTTTCAAACAATAATTGATGTTCATAAATATTCATAAAAGTCCCTTATTTACACAAGACTCTGATTTTTTTTACGAAAATTATCGAATTCTTTTAGCGGTAAAAAGTCTTTTTTTATGTTCCTAATTCCAAAAAAATTGTAATATGTATTTTGTAAAGGGGAAAAACGTAGTTCTTTTGTTTAAATCAACTGAAGACAAAAATTAATTTGAGATGCAAAGACGACATTAAGACGTTCATTACTCCTTTATATGATATACAGGGTGTCCCAATAAACATGAGAACTAAGAGACGGCTTGAAAGTTGTCTTTGATTTCTGATATTAAATGCAAGGCAAAGAAATTATAAAAACGAGGCTGTACGTCTTATGAGTTTTTCATAAAGCGGTCAAGTAAATAAATTGAAATTTTTACAAATTTTGAAATTGTTCAACCCCCCCCCCCCCCAAGCCCATCTAAATTGTAAATTGAATAAAATATTTGTAAAGGCAGAATCTAAATATTTTAACACACTGTTTCCATTGTTCAAACTTCAATGTCCATTCATTTACTGTAAAAATTAGTTGCAACTTTCTGCATACTTTCTGTTAAAGTGCACAATAATAAAATAAACAACTTTAAACATAAAGTTGAAAAATGAAGCTTCTGTTTTAAACTTCAAAAAGTACATTTCAGTTTTGTCAAACTGCACATTTCACACTTTTAAATATTTTTCCGTCTTTTCAGTTAAGTTGAACTGTTTAAGGTTGACATGTCAACTTGGGGAAATTGTAAAAAGCAGAGGGAAACCGGTAACCCGATCTTTTCTTTACAGAGAAACTATTCATGAGATTTTAAGCTTGAACGAGGGGGATGAACTAAGTTGAATATTTTGCAATTCATTTAGGAATTCCGGAATCTCATTTAAGAATATAAATTTTCAGAGGTAATTTTTAAAGTAATTTTATCTATTAATTGAAGTTGGCACAATTTAGAGGATATGTGAGTAGCTGAGGCAAAGTGGATGAAAAATTGACTTTTCCTCATTATAAATACGCTATGTTAAAGGTACATTACAACCTTTTTCAATTATTAATCAAATGCTGGCTTGCTAAATATCTTTACTTTACAAATTTTGTCGGACCAATTCACGTAAATTATTAAAATGTTAAATGTATAATTTTTTTAAATCTTTTATTTTAGAAAAGTATACTTTGAACGAAAAATGTCTTTTTTATTTACAAAAATATTAAACACTTCAAAAAATACTCTGAAATGTAGAACAGTTTATTTTTTCTAAAACTTTAAATTGACAGACTGTGTCTTCATTATTTACTGATTGTTAAAAAAAAAGACAGAAAAAAGATTATATTAGTCTGTCTATCTATCTATGATATTATCGTTTTAATACAAAAATTATAAAATTTTTAATGATATAAAACCAAATTGTGTAAATCCATAGAGCTTCATTTTCTGTGACACGTGTGTGCGTCCTTTTATCCTCAATAATATGAAGTGTGACGCACAAAAGAATTGAGTCTTTTCCAACAACTCTGATTTTTTAACCCCGTATCTTTGCAACCTGATGTCGAAGACCATAGATATTTCAAACTATGCATCCTGTTAGATCAAATAATCTTACTTTGAAATACCATAGGTTTACACCATCAAGTTGCAAAGATAAAGGGATCAAAAAATTTGAGTTTGTGTCAAAGACTCAATTTCTTTGATGCATTATTTAAAATATATAGATATTTATTAAGTGCTAACATTTTGCACAAAGAAAGGGCATAAGGACGTAAATGTTTACAATTTAGGTAATATAAAATATAAAATATAAAATGAAAGAAGTTAAATAAAAAAATAAAATACGTGGCACGATATGTCGTCCTTGTATTCTTGTTTACAGTTTACGTACTTTATATGTTTAACCTTTTAATCTTATATTTCTAGTTTTGATGTAAATTCTAAATTACCTGAGAGGATAAGCATCAGTTTAGTTATTCTATCAATATCTTGAACTAAACTACAAAACTTTATACTCTCACTAGTCCTCGCCAATCCTTGCAACTAGATATATATTCATTAATCATTATTCATCTATATATATATATCACTGTGGTCGGTCTTGCCAGACTACATTTGCTGCATAAAACGTGCTGGGTTGACTTTCACTTGGTAGCCCAGACAGGACAGTACGACTGAATGTATATACAGTACATGTTGTACCGGCTCGGATCATGCAACGATTGGAGCAATGTGATTTATATATATTCAGGTAATATCTATTTTTTGTTTGGTAATTACGGATATCATAATATTCTTAAATTTATGTTTTTTTGTACCTTATATTCAATGTCTTGTCTTATTTCTTCATTTTCCTACAAATTCTAATTTCAAGCTTTCCCGGAACTTTTACAACAGTGAAAAGCAAGAAAATGACCAACATTTTACACATTCAGAAGAAGACTGAAGTAAGAAAGTTTTACAGAAAATAAAAAAGATAATTCACAAAATGTTTGAAATTTTCCTTAATTTCTCTGTCGATTTCAAGTTTTCTACATCGCCAGAAATCAACACGTCGCCATATTGCCGCCAAAAGTTCCTTTTTCTAAAAAAAACCCAGTAAATTGAATAGTTTTAAAATGAAAATTTTACATGCGTTATATTTTTTTCTGTTTTACCTTTTTATTCTTATTCCGACAATTTGAACTGCTCTCGGTATTTTTATTCGAACATTTCAATCTCAAGGGAGTGGAAAGGTTTATTTTTGAAGCAGGATTAATCTCCTCCAGTTTAGTTTCTTGAAGATGAGCTTGAGAATTATCTTGGAAAACATCAAACAGGGTTTCATTACTTGAACCTTAACAATGAATGATACAGAGCTCTCCAAAATAATTTGGATTATAATTTCTTAATTTCTGTTTACCCAAGGACGAATATTGACCATGAACAAAGATCCAGACAGCCAATACTTTTCCATAAATCCAAATACCATGGGCCGGGGTGTATACTAGACCGGCAAGTACCAGTTTATGTACATTGTACATATAAACTTTACCATTACAGATAGACCGGCCCAAGGTACTAATGCAAGGAAAGATAATTGCGGTCGCGTATACTCTGCTTACATATTGGAACCAGTTCTCTTTGGGCGGAATTTGTAAACAAGAATATATGCATCAGTGTTCGTCTAGTATCCGAGGAGGATCTTGTATCCGATATCAGCTCGGATCCTGTACTTCTGTGCTAACATTACATACCCACCAAGGTTTAATATTGAATCTTCACCTTTCACACATGAAAAAATTATTTTATTAATATTCATTTTTGATTTTCTTTGTCTCACGCAGGTTTAACAGTTCAATCCTTATAGACCAGCAAACTGTGCTGATCCCAATTTGACCAATTTAACATTTGTTTTTCTTTTTTTATGCTTTTTTTTGTCGGTGAATGCTATTTAAACAAAAAGTATTACATGACATCTCTGTAAATTAAAGATTTTTGAATTATTTTTTATTAAAACATGAATGAATGTAAATTGAAGAAACAGAACGCTTCAAGCCCTTGTTAGTTCTGACTCCTGAGTGTTATAAACGTTACGTTACGTAAAAAAAATCGGAATCCAATTCAAAAAGGTAAACATTCACGTTAACAAGTTGTCACATAGAAAAAAAAGACAACATGAGTGTACACTATACGTTATGTACATATGTATATACCATCAGTTTATTCTTGCCGGGGCTTGAACATAATTAAATATAATTAGTTTGGTGTGTAAATTCTACCTTGAATAGTTATTGATGAAGTAGTGGATAGATCCAATGAGGAGGAGGAGGAGGCAAAGCTTAATCTTTTCAACCTTAAAAACAGGTTTAGGATAAACAACGAACAAATCAAGGTTTGATGTAAGTTTACACAAACTTTTTAATTGACGGCTGATTCAACTCATGATTTAAAAGCTTATAAAGGTTAAGTTAGTTAAAACAACTAATATTGGAATTAAAAACTTTAAGAACCCGAACATGATGGTAGACCTCAAATGTGAAATCCATAAAAACTTGTCCGTGTATATCAGACTCGGTAAAAAAATTACTAACAGGGAAGGAAAATAGATGAAAGAACGACGAAACGAGAAAATGTACATCTTATCTTTTATTGTTTATATTTGAATCTGATGGTTAAATGATCTAAATCTTGTTTTTATGAATTTAACCCTTCTTCAGAAATCTAGAAAATGTAAGTAAACAAAAGTAGAAAACTGTTTAACGTTAATTCTGCTATTCAAGGATTTATCAAGATTGAAATGACTTCAAAACACAAAATAAATGGTACACAAAGCATATTTCGTCTCTTTTTCATGTTTATAATTTATTCGACAAAAGTTTTTAAGATTTCTTGATTGATTCTGTAACTTAAGGACACATTTCGATTAATATAAAAAGAATTTATGTGAAACCTAGATAAAAAAGATTAAACTAACCTCTCAGACTCATTTTCAATGTTTTTATCATTAACCCCTATTTTCTCCTCTTTGAGACTTTCAAGGTCTAAACATTAAATTTAATTTTTTTTACAGATATAATAAGCAAAAATTTGATTTGACCTGGATGGATATTATTGAAGTTAATGTTTGATAAATCTGCAGAGGGAACCTTGTTATTCTCATCATCAATCTGCAGTCTTCTTGAACTTCTGTATGCGATCACATCACATTGGATTTGTAATAAATGTTAAAATTTTACAAATATAATTAATCATGACAACTTAATATTTTAAATTTTGATCTTAAATTAAATTGACAAAGTATATTATAGAAATTTTTTGTTTGAGTTAAAAGGAGGTTTCTAACCCTAGGTTTCTGACTCATAGGTTTTGAACTCTAGGTTTCTAACTCTAGGTTTCTAACTCTAGGTTTCTGACTCTAGGTTTCTGACTCATAGGTTTCTAACTCTAGGTTTCTAACTCTAGGTTTCTAACTCTAGGTTTCTAACTCTAGGTTTCTAACCCAAGGTTTCTAACCCAAGGTTTCTGACCCAAGGTTTCTAACTTAAGGTTCTAACTCTAGGTGTCTAACTAAAAAAAGCATCTATTTGTAGAAAGAAGCTTTGAAAACCTCAAACCATCTATTTGAAATCCCTCTGAATTCACCTCTGTCTGTAGAACTCATTAAGCAGCCATATTGCTTGGTTAGAAAAGGATTTTCTAGATTTTGATTAGAAAAGCTTATCGTATATTCTATATCACGACAGGCGGTATCAAATCCAAGATTTGCTGACAAGTTAATCCCAACAGAAGAATCCTCGAATTCACTGGAGTAAACAGATTTTTAACTTTTAAGAGGCTGTCCTTGTAATTTCAAATGATCTTCCATTACAAGAAGGACGTTGTGAATCGGAAATGCCACAAATGAAAATTCACCTAAAGTTACGCCTACAGTATTTAAATATTTAGAAAAAAAGAACATTTTAGAAATCCCATATTATAACAATAATCGATCCAATGTGAAGCTGGTTACCCTGTAACTGTTTGGTCAATCTTCTTGACATCAACTCCTGTTTTAATTTTCCTGACATCAACTCCTGTTTTAACTTTCCTGACGTCAACTCCTGTTTTTATCTTTTTCTTCTCCTGATCAAGAATTTTTATATCTTGATTAGGTTTAACTGAGTCTGGTATCCACAACGGTCTACTAAAATTATTCATTTTAAATGATTGCGTCGCGAAACTTTGAAACTTTGTGGATTAAACCATTACTATCTATGTTCGACCCCATCTGTTAACTTTTTAGAATTCCTGAACTAACCCTTGAACATCTAAAAGTATTTGCCTGGTAGATGTTCTGCAACCGCAGCGTAACTGGAAAGATGTTTTTGGATTGAAGTTTCCTGAACGGATACAAAATAATCAAATTATAAATTTAGAAAATTAAGATTATTCTCACCTTTATCATTCTTGAAGTTGTCAGGGATAACGGTCAAATCCTGGATTTAAGCATGAAAATGAAAATAAAAATGAGAAAAATATCAGAAACGTGAAATTTAAAATTGCTTCACTAGGTGTTGACATTGATGTTTAATGCTTGATTTTTATTGCTAGTTCTTCAACATTTAATTAGTTTTTACAAGAAAAAAGTTGTGAAAAGTTTGTGAAATCCTGTTAAAAACTACACGCTTTCCTGGAAATCTGCAGAGAGTGAGATGTTGTCTCCAATTTTGAGAATTAGGGGTTTTGGAGGACGACAGGGTGGGGTGGGGCTCCGGCTTAATCCTCTGAAAATTAAAACAAAATGCACACTGCCACAATGCACATGTTAAAGAGATTGTAGACCTATTTGAAAATACACATTATATACTATTTTTCAATTTAAATAACAATTAAGCCTATCTTAGCACTCAAAGCACACGGATCTTGTCATCCTGTATTTATTAAACGTGCTGGGTAGACTTTACACTGGGTAGTCTAGACTGTTTGGTACGAGTAAATGCAAATATAGTACAGCTACAATATAGTACCGGTAAATCCTTGTACCGGTTCTCCGGCTAATGTTAATTCAGAAAACCAGATTGGGAATCTCAAAGACGAAGCTTGGTTGTGTTCCTAATCACAAAATATAAGCTATTCTGAGTATTTTAAAATGAGAATTCATAAAATTCTGAAATAAGAAGTGACCTCAGGCGTTGCTGTTCTTCTGTCTGCATTCTTTTCCATTTTCCCAACCTGCAAGTATTATTATTATTATTGTTACCATCTATATAAACAATCTCTTTTTATGCTTTTAATTCATAATATTTATATTTACCTGACTTTTTCTAGATCGAAGATTAGATCTGTATTTGCCGGTTTAGGAGGTAGGGGAGGTGGGGAGGGGGAGAGGGGAGGTGGGGAGGGGGAGAGCGGAGGTAAGGATGGGGAGAGGGGAGGTGTAGGGGGAAGGACTGGGGGTTTATTGCACTGTGAAACCATTCTTATCCTGGAACAATTAAATTGGCTTAATTAACTCTAAACTCTACAGCAATCAAGAAAAGGACGGAAAAATAGATTTTCCTCCAGGACTTTAAATTGATGGATGAAGGATTTTAAAATCAAAATTAAAAACAGAACTAGTGTAGTGTTCTAAGTTGTATTCATCCTTCCCCAGTCTACATACATACTACAGTCGTCGTCGTATATATCAATACAACGAAGACGACTTACAATATCAATTTTTGATTTCTACAATGCTTTCAAACAGCATAGAGCCATGTTTATAAACATGTCATCTAACAGCGTTGTATTAGTTTACTTGTAAATTAAATAAAGCTTGTGAGAAATCAAAACTTAAATAGAAAAGTCGTCTTGAGAATACTTGTACATGTGATTTACTGGACTAGTGTGATGTATGTACACTGTACATTGATTGGAATAATTGTACATGTGATTTACTGAGCCTGAAATTTAAAAGAGTATCGTTGAACGAAACTTCCGAGTTTCCTTTTTGGGGTCTTATTATTTGTGTAGATTTTGATTTAAGAGATTTGATAAAAATGGTAAGATATAAAGGATTAAATAAAATAATATTTCAAAACAAAAATATCGATATCTACAAAACTGGGTAAACCCATTTGTGAAACCCGGGTTCCAAAACTGGTTTTCATAACGATACCCTGTCTTAAGTTTTGGGCTCTGGACTAGTGTGATGTGTGTACACTGTACATTAATTGGAATAATTGTACATGTGATTTACTGGACTAGTGTGATGTGTGTACACTGTACATTGACTTAAATAGTTGTACATGTGCTTTACTAGACTAGTTCATTCTGTGCATGTACCCTGTACAGTGTACAGTGTGCATATATACAGGAATGAATTTATCAGAAATATTTCAAGATATTTAATTAAACGTCTGTCAGAATATCGGGAAAGTGATGTAAAGAAGATATCAACATTTCTTCTATAAATATACATGGTGGTGGGGGGGGGGAGAAGGGGGGTTTGTACTTTGATAATTGTATTTTTATTAAATTTCTTATCCCTAAAAATTATTTTTCATTTTTACGTCACAAAAATTTGTAATTAAAATTCGTCCTTTTTTTAACATAATTTTGCTTTTATTCAAAAACTATTCCTATGAGTTCACTTAATCAGGAAATGCAAAAAAAATTTAAAAACGCATTTTCCAGTTCTGCTTTCTATACTTCGTAAAACTGTTCCCCTCTGAATATATTCTGAATCCTTCCATCCTTCAGACTTGAGGTAAAATAAACACCTTGTGCAGGAATAAGCTACAAGTCAAAACAAGTTCTTATATTAGACAACTCCGTAGTTCAGCATCAAAACAAATATTTGAAACAATATTTGTTTTGCTTGATGAAAATATTGAAAACAACTTCAGAGATAATCATGAGTATAAATACAGTTCAACCAGAACGTAAATTGCTTTTTATTGTTTTAAATCAAACATCAAAATTTTAACAACTATGAATGTTTATTAAAACTACTGTATGCTTTTCATTCATATTCATAACATTGAAAACAAGCTTTTGAGGGTAACAGGGGATCCACAAAAATCTGAGGAGTCAAGCTTTTATTTCAAAATTTTATAGATGCTATGAAAATTTCTTTTATTACACTTTAACTAGAATTCTAAGAAGCTTTGCGGCCCTTTTTCTTGTACTTGTTTTAGCTTTTAAATTGTATTGTATCTACAATCATTTTTTCAACGTACAGCATGATAAAATAACTAATTTAGATTGTGCAGATTTTTATGTTTTCAGTAATAAATTCAAAATTTTTTATTAAAGGGACAGACCGGCTATGTAAAGTAGTTAAACTGAGTATGCAGTGTTGTGGACAAATTCTAGGATTCATTTGAGACATATAAAACGTTTCCGCGATCTATAATTACTGAGTTTAAGTCGACGTTCAAAATCATGAATTTGAGTTGGTAGGTTTTCAGAATAATTTTTTTAAAATTTCTTATTTTCTATGAATTTGTTCGCAGATTTCTTTAAATTCTTCAAATTTCGTCTTTTAATAAAAATTCCAGAAAATCTTTGTGATTATAGAGAGATTATAGAAGCTAAAAATTGAACAAGATTACTTATTTTCGATGATAACTAGTTAATTTTTATTTTCTCAACCTGTTCCAAAACAACTAATTAGTTTACTGTTGAATTTGGGTTTACACTTTTTGTCGTCGTTATTTAATAATTGAAAAAAAAAAACAATTATAAAAACGTATTCACCCAAAAGTACGATTTTGAGCGTCGACTTTGTGCTCAAACTCAGGATTTACAGATCTTTAAAATGTTTGTCCCATGATCAGTAAAACCAAGAAACATATATACCAGAAACTCACATATCTCTTTGTTTCTAGAAGAAATTCAAACAATTAAGTATTTTGCTTCCAAAAATACAAAGCACAGCTTAATTTGTCTTGTTGAGGCTTTTGTCAGATGTTAATATTTTGCATAATTAAAAAAATACAACCTTAAATATGAAAGAAACATCTTGAAATATCGAGCCATTCTAAAGCATAAACTCCTTAGATTAAACTTAAGCAATGAATTCAATAATATAATATAATATAATAATATAATATAAAGCTAATATACTTGAAATACAACAGTACTTCAATAGACCTAACATTGTTGAAACATTTTTTTTAACGTTCGTAACGGTTTAATAAATTAACGAAACAGACAGGTGCATCAAGTATACCGTTAATTGTTTTCTACTAAGAGGTTGCCGTTAGTTAACGATCTTAATTTTTAACGAAATATTACTTTATCTTTAAAAAATTTCAGTTTTTTTCATGATCGGTGTATTAGGTTCGTCAACAGTTTGAAAACTAGCAGGGTTTTCCGACAATTTTTTAATTTATACTATTTAATGTAGTGTTGCCTTGCAATATAAGTTAAAAACATTAAAACTTTGAAAGACGTATTCTTAATACAAAAAAATCTTTGTACAAGTTCCTGTTTAATAACGTTGTCCTTTAGTCCTTCTAATCCTTTTATTCCCCCTGGGGTTTAAACTGACTGGATTAGAATCTTTGGGATTATTTACACTAGAAAGCAGCAAATGAGCAGGGCTGTGTTTACCCTAAAATCCAGGAAAAATAAAAAAATTCTAGGATTGAGCTTAAAGCCTCAAGTTGTTAAAAAACCTAAATGTTTACGATAAATCTGAAATATATAAATCCCTGGTTCCAAAGCGGGCAAATGATAAGAAAACTGGGCGCATTAACAACCTCATAATATCCCGGCAGAAATGAACAACTTGACGAAATATTTTTAGAAAACCGGGTTTTTGTCGAATATATGTTGGAATTCGGTCAACTCAATGATTAACCTAATATTCATCTAGATTAAATTATAGATAGTGGCATAAAATCAATCAATATTCATCAAATTACTTCCTCAAATTATTCACCGCCCTTCTCTCATTACTAATATGTATAATGTATATGTATGTTTATATTTTGGTCAAATAGGTAAATTGAATATAGAAATTAATACCTAGTCTCGGTTACATAGACAGGTAGATAGCCAGGAGATAGACAGGTAGACAGACAGTTAGATAGACAGGTAGATAGACAGGTAGATAAACAGGTAGATAAACAGGTAGATAAACAGGTAGATAAACAGGTAGATAGACAGGTAGATAGACAGGTAGATAGACAGATATATAGACAAGTAGATAGACAGGTAGATAGACTGGTAGATAGACAGGTAGATAGACACGTAGATAGACAGGTAGATAGACAGGTAGATAGACAGGTAGATAGACATGACTGGTAGATAGACAAGTAGATAGACAGGTAGATAGACAGGTAGATAGACAGGTAGATAGACAGGTAGACAGACAGGTAGATAGACAGGTAGATATACAGGTAGATAGACAGGTAGACAGACAGGTAGAAAGACAGGTAGATAAACTGGTAGATAGACAGGTAAATAGACAGGTAGATAGACAGGTAGATGGACAGGTAGATAGACAGGTAGATAGACACGTAGATAGACAGGTAGACAGACAGGTAGATAGACAGGTAGATAGACAGGTAGATATACAGGTAGATAGACAGGTAGATAGACAGGTAGATAGACAGGTAGATAGACAGATAGATAGAATGGTAAATAGACAGGTATATATAGACAGGTGATAAACATGTAGATAGAGGTAGATTGACAGCAATTTATGAAAGGCAAATATAAATTATAGAATATATTTATGTTTCTCTTGATTGTGTGAAAATTAAAACTAGATGCGCTATGAGTAAACAAAGTCGTATCAGTAATGTCACAAAAGTTTGACCTTCTCTTTCTGTTAAAGGAAGTGAGCAACAAACACAAATACAATGTAAATTGTAAACATGAGATAATTTTCGACAAATATTGCTAAAAAGTTTGGAAACTAACTATATTAAAATTCAAAACTTAATAAATAGTTTAATCAAACATTTTTACTTTTTAAGATCATTTGTTAATCCTGTGTCTGAACTGGGTCTGCGTCTGGCTTGATTATAATATGAAACCTGAAAATAAATATGAATTTTCAAATATCAAATTAATTTCTGTTGAAACTAGGACGACATTTCAGAACTGCATATTTGGAAACAAGAATTAGCCTGACCTTTGATAATGTTTTGAAATTAGAGTTTTTAGTGAAGTAGTCTGTAGAAATAAGCTTAACTTAAAGCGAACTTTTAAAATAGCTGAAAATAGATTATTACCTCTCTTTTTAGAATTGCAGAATATAAGACAGGAATTTGAACCATCGTCTTCTCTACGGACGAGAGAAACAAACTCAATCCTATGCGCGGCATTTAAATTCAAGATTTCTTTTAAAGTAAAGTAACAATTAACAATTTAGTTCGTCACACAGAAAGGAGCTCCTTGTATAAAATTTATACCTGAGAAACCTAAAATAATTTAATCTAACTACATTAAAAAATTTACTAATACGTGCATTTTTAATACGGACCATATAGGCGGTTTCAGGGAAGGGAGTACATTACTCCCCCCCCCCCTCCCCCACTGAATTTGGAATTTTTTGTTCCTTTTTCAGAATATTAGCTTCTCAATAGCATGCCTAAGGGAAAGAACCCCTAGTGCAAAACAGGAAAAATATCTGTCTTAATAAACTATGTGTGAAAAGTAAAAAATCTAGTTTTTTAGTCTTTTTAGTCATTAATTTTGACTCTTTTTGAGTCTTCTAAGTCAAAAAAAATTTTCCTTGCGGCACGATTTTTTGTTCCTAATCATGAATTTTTTTTGTTTTAAAATATCTTGCCCCCCCCCCTCACTTAAATCCTGTATCTGTATATAATAAGAATAATAGTAGAAAATAAAAAATAATTCTCCCATCATTAGAATAATATAATATGATATGTATAATGTATAAAGTTCAATCAATAATATCTTTTTATATCGTTTTTAGATACCCTATACTATAAATAAACTGTAATTTTTGTAGGTTTAGAGAGGTAAATAGAATTTTTTAGCAAAAGGGGGGTATGGGTGATTTTTTTTGCAAGATTACAAGGGGGGGGGGNCCCCCCCCCCCCCCTGTCTGAAATCCTGAAAGCGCCCTTGATATGGACTGTTTAAAACATCACAGTTGAAAGACGGACCAACAAACACCAAAACACCCACCCAGACAAGCAAAGTATATGTATACTAGGCTTTTAGGGCGCTTCGCACCCATCTTCTATTTCAATTGTGAACATTTTCTCTTCATATACATTGCAAAACAAAAACGAAAAAAGTTTTGCGGATTTAAAAAAATGGTGGATTTTAAAAATTTAATGAAATTCGAATTTTGTTGGATGCAAATTTTTGAAAATTCGATCATCCATAAACCTTCCCTTGGGTCACGTGGGGTCCCACTAAAAATTTGGGCCCGATCGGTTCAGCCGGTTTGACGTTTATTGGATACAAACGGACAGACAGACAAACAATTACACCAAGACAAGTATATATATAAAATATCAGTATCATGTTTAAAAAATATTGCTTTTCTTCAGAACATAACTTGAATTCCTTTAGATTGGGAACTGTGTGGATCTCGTCTAAAGTAAAGATAGTTAAGGTTTATTTACCAATTGATTAAAAAACAAATTTTACCTAAAAATTGTTAAAATATTCTTCAGTGCTGCCATCCATCTTTTTACTGAAAAATATTATGTCCATACCCAAGATACCCAGTCACCCAATTTTTATGTGGTTCTTAGTTAGCTTGTTACCTATTTACCTTGTTACCTTGTTACCTAGTTTCTCAGTTAGCTTGTTACCTATTTACCTTGTTACCTAGTTTCTTAATTTCTTAGTAACCTAGTCACTTAGTTACCTTGTTTCTTTTTTTCTTAGTTACTTGGTTACCAATTTACCTATAGTTACCTAGTTACCTAGTTACCTAGCTACCTAGTTACTAGTTACCTTGTTACCTAGTTACCTATTTATGTAGTTACCTAGTTACCCTGTTAGCAAGTAACATGGTTACCTAGTTATATAGTTACATAGTTACTTAGTTACTTAGTAACAAAGTTACCTAGTTACCTATTTATGTAGTTACCTAGTAACATGGTTACCTAGTTACTTAGTTATGTAGTTACCTAGTTACCTAGTCACCTAGTTACCTAGTTACCTAGTTACCTGGATACCTAGTTACCTAGTTACCTATAGTTACCTAGTACTCGACAAATCTGTTGCATCTCCTTCCTGGAATCCTCTGTCATAATATTATTCTAAAATAATGTTTCTCTGACTTCTTATATCCTGTTCATGTTTTGCATATTTCCACTGTGTTTGTTATGTTTGAGATTGTGTAGACTGTAGAGAGTAACAACCAAGATTATATTTTAATCCTTCTCTACATATCCCTCCCCCCCTCCCTCCCTTTTTACTTCCAAATCTTGATCTAAATCTTATGTATTTTTTATATTCAGTTTGTTTGTTCTACAGTCAAGTTTTTTCCCAGAAAAAATGTCAATTTCCATTTTTTAAATTTGTTTCCTCCCCCCTCCCCTCTTCCAACCCCAATTTTTCATATATTTTGTCTCCGAACCAGATCTGTCTTACTCCCTTCCCTTTCTCTTGTATTTACAGAGACTAAATGCTAAAATACTAAGATGAATTGTATTCCTAGTATTTTGTCAAGCACATCAGGGAATCCATCACCCTGCCCTATCCTTTCTTCGTTCGTATGCCTATCCTTCCTCCTTCCATTCTACTACACTCCTCCTTCCCTCCTTCTTCATTCCTCCTTCCCTCCACCTTCCCTCCTCTTTCCATTCTCCTTCACTCCTCCTTCTCTCCTCCTTTCCTTCTACTTCCCTCCTCCTACCCTCCTCCTTCCCTCATTCTGAATTCCTCTCTCCCTCCCTCCTTCTTCCCTCCTTCATCCCTCCTCCTTTCCTATTCCTTCCCTCCTCCTTCCCAACTCTTTCCCTCCTCCTTCCCTCGTGCTTCCCTACTCTTTCCTCTTTACAATTGTTCTCCGTCCTTTTTTTTCTCCTTTAATTTAAACCTCCTTCCTTCTCCTTGAATATTTTAATTCTTAACCCTCAAACTCCTTTTTCCAGTTGGTTTTGATTTTTTAAGCTTTATTAAATTGTAGAAATAGTATCTTTTCGTAAATCTAATATATGTTGTCATTCATTTAAAGGAATTGTAGCTTGGGACTATTTTTCTTTATTGTAGTTAATTAAAACAGACCATGCATGAACAAATTTTTCTTTAAAATAAATGAAACTTGAAATTTAGATTGCAGTTTTCCTAAAAGTATACATAATTCAAATAGAGAAAAAACTTTGCTAAACTTGAAACTATTTATCTAACACAATTAACTTGCTAACTTTTTTTCTGACCACAAAAAAGAATAAAATTTATATTTATAATCAAATGTGATAATACGTTCTTAATTGGGGTTCAAACATATCTGATGAATTGCCGTTTTGAAGAAAATGTAGTTTTGAACAATTAACTTATCAATGATTATGATAACTTATTACTCTCCTACCGGGCCTAACAGTAAAGAAACAGTAAAAAAGACGATTTGTTTAGAAATAAGAATAGGTAATTTCTGAATCAGAAAGGCGCAGAGCCGAAGTAAAGAACAAACAAGGTTGAGTTAATAAATTATCATAAATTTTTCACGAATCCATATGTTGAATATCATATTTTCTGCTACAGGAGATCTCATCAAATTCAACTCAATCAGTGCAACGGGCCGTACAACATTATCAGTTTAGAACACGAATAATTCATTAAAGAAGTTAAAGGAAGCGTTGGGAAAAATGAAGCAGGTATTTTTTAATCCCAATCAATAGCTGTACATCTTACCTCTAAGTTCTATGTTTTACGTCTGTATTCGGAAAGTTTTGTTTTCAGTTTAAAATTTATTGAGAATGGTTTAAATTTGACAATTTCCCCATCATATTTATAGAGTATCGACTCAAAGATTTTTGTAGATTTCGTTTTTTGTTCCTGAAAAAACGTGAAACCATTTGTACCGTCTTGGATCTGATATAATCCCAGTCGAGGTTTGAGCAGGACAAATTATGTTCTTAAATTTTTCTCAACTTTTTGTTTTCTAATTGATAAAGCAACTATTTTTGATTTGAATACCTTTATACTAAAAAGTGTTATATTACGTTGATGATAAAAAATTAGATTTAATAATAGAAAGGTTTAGCATTGTGAATTGTAAATATTAAATTGATACTCGCACAATATACAATATTCAATTCTATCTATTTATATACTTTGCTTGTCTGTTTGTTTGTCTGTTTGTTTGTCTGTTTGCTTGTATCCAATAAACATTAAAACGGCTGAACCAGTCGGGCCCAATTTTTTTGTGGGACCTCGCGAGACCCCGGAGAAGGTTTACGGATGATCGAGTATTCAAAAATTTGCTTCTTACAAAATATATTTTTTTCTAAAATCCGCGAAATTTTTGTTTGTTTTTCTTTTATAATGTATACAAAGCGAACATGTTCACAATATGAAAGGAAGATGGGAGCTAAGCGACCTAATAGCCTAGTGTACAAATATTTCTTAATGTATGTGCTGACCCGCGTTGTCTAGCTGTTAGATGGATACTAGCGTAAAGAGGATTTACAAACTTATCCTCCGTAAATCCTTTCTTAATATCTATCTATCTATCTATCTATCTATCTATCTATCTATCTATCTATCTATCTATCTATCTATCTATCTATCTATCTATCTATCTATCTATCTATCTATATATCTTTCTAGCTTCATATCTTTCTATTTTCACAGCTTTCTGTCTTCATATCTATCTAGCTTTATATCTAACTTCGAATTATCTTTACACCTTCATTTTCTACCTATCTAACTAACTAATTAACTAACTAACTAACTATAGCTAACTAATCAACTTTCTAACTAATTACTAACTAACTACTCACTTTACTATAGCTAACTAATCAACTTTCTAATTAACTACAAACTACTTAATTTAATATAACTAACTAACTGACTTTGCACATGGTAATAACTGGAAATTTAGAAAATTAAAGATTCTTAAATTGAAATCAATGCCTTATTTTCCTAAATGTTATGTTTAATAATATTGAAAGGGAAAACAGCAGACAGGGGCGTTTATAAAATGATGGGGGCTATCGGGGGCAACCCCCGCCCATCCCCTTGTAAAGCAAGACTAAGATTTCAAAGGGGGATGTTATCATGTTTTAAAAGCAAAAAATGGTATTTCTCCTCCGGAGTTACATCACAAATGTGATATCAACCAATATTCATTTCTCTCTTAAACTAAAGGACTGTCCTTTCACAAAATTTATGCGCCATCTCTTGAAAGATTTTCTAAATTTATCAGCTCAGACTTGATCTTTTTAATGTTTAAAGAAAATTAAATTGCTCAATAGAATTTATATTAGATTTGTTTAAATACCCGGCCAGAGAACAATTAACACAGCGCGTAAAATGTTTTATTCTAATTCAAAACTACATTTTTAATCTTGTTTAATAGTGTTTGAATTCTTGTAAATATATGTATTGCACAAGTATGCAGGGCCATCGAGCTGGAAACTTTTGAATGGTGGATATCGGGATTAATGCTTGATCCACTCTTTTTCTTAATCTCCAGATTAAATAATGCTTGTTCCCCTCTTGTTGTTAATATCCAGATTAATTAAACGATCGGGATTAAGAATATCCCATTCTAAAGTTTTCAGCTCAGGGTATATAGTTACCCACAAAAAATATGTTACTTGTTTTTATAGTTGCCAAATAAAAGTTTCCAGTAGCTAGAAATCAAGGAATGGAATGAAAAATTGGATAAATCTGTCGAGTCGTCTTTGAAGTTTCGCCCTCTGAGGGTATCCCTGTAATATTTATCTATTTATGTGTACAGTGTGTCCTGAGGTTTCATTGACAATACTGTATTAAACTTACTTCCAAAGTTAGATTCAAATAGTTACAAAAAGTTACTTTCTTTTGCAAAATAGAAAAGGTATTCCTTAAAATTTTCCTCGACAGACCATAAACTGAAAAAAGTGAGACAAATTTGAATTTGAAATAGTTTATTAAACTTCAATATCTAGAAATTAGGAGAAACAAATTTAATCTGTAGGACTCAGCTGTGCTCGGAATGCCCCACTGATATCAGAAATCGAAGAATTATGCCGCGTCTTTCTCACTCCGGGTTCATCGTCTTCAAATCTGAGAAAAGCCAGATTAGTTATTTTCTATTTTAAAGGATATTTTATATATATCTAATACTGACTGATTCTCTCATTTTGATAAATATTAGAAGGATCTAGGCCAAGATATAAATAATAATTAGATTTACCTATTATTACTAGATTTGATTAGAGCTGATGTTTTATTGAAATCTATTGTAGTGTAACCAACTACTGGGCGCTTTGTGCCTGAAAAAATCATATAAATCAGTTCGACAAAGTTTTTGCAAATCTTTCTTCATTGGATAATAAATTAAAAAATATTTTTAACTATTTAAATCTTCAACGACTGGAAAACTTCTTATATATTTTCAGTGATACAGAATTGGTAAAAAAACATCACTTATAATTTTTGGGAGAAACATCTTGTCGACCAATTCGATCGCCATCAATATCATAATTTCTTTTAAAGAAATTTTATAATAAAAATAAACCTTCTTTTATATTTTTAAAGTGAGAAAACACTCCTTATAAAATATTTAAGATATGTAAAGCAGTTACGTTACGTTACATAATGTACATACCGTTGTTTGTAATGGTCTGCTGTGCACCAGAGTCCTGTTTATCCAGATCCAGCATGATGTAGTTCAGAGGAGTACATAGATCTAATAGTGGAGAAATAGGACCTACACAAATACATATATTAAATTCTTTATTTATCTACATTTTATCCGCCTGGAAACAGATATCTGGTTTCTTAATTTTTTAAAAATTGCAAACTGAAAGTAAAGTGAATTGATTGATTTAGTTTTAAGTAACTCTAGATTTAAAGAAGGTCATGCCCGATTCATTAAGGTACAAATCAGGTCTAAATATCTGGAAGATAATAGAGAAAAGGAAGATAAGGTCGTTTTCTAGCTTCAAAAGTGTTGAATTTGATAAATGTTCTTTTTTTCCGCAGCAAAAACATTTGTAGAGAACCCACAATTGAATATAATCAATTTTAAAGAGAAAATCAAGATATCTTGTTTATTCTTAATCAGACAATGTTTAAAATTAGTCTACAATCTCTTTAAATTATCCTTGGAAAAATTAGTCTACAATATCTTTAAATTATCCTCTGGTAAAATTAGTATACAATCTCTTTAAATTTAAATTTAAATTAGAAGTAAATAGAAGTAAATAGAAGTAAATAGAAGTAAATGGAAGTAAATAGAAGTAAATAAAAGTATAAAGAAGTAAATAGAAGTAAATAGAAATAAATAGAAGTAAATAGAAGTAAATAGAAGTAAATAGAAGTAAATAGAAGTAAATAGAAGTAAATAGAAGTAAATAGAAGTAAATAGAAGTATAAAGAAGTAAATAGAAGTAAATACAAGTAAATAGAAGTATATAGAAGTAAATAGAAGTAAATAGAAGTAAATTGAAGTAAATAGAAGTAAATAGAAGTAAAATGAAGTGAATAGAAGTAAATAGAAGTAAAATGAAGTAAATAGAAGTAAAATGAAGTAAATAGAAGTAAATAGAAGTAAATAGAAGTAAATAGAAGTAAATAGAAGTAAAATGAAGTAAATAGAAATAAATAGAAGTAAATAGAAGTAAATAGAAGTAAAATGAAGTAAATAGAAGTAAATAGAAGTAAATAACCTGGTGACATTGGAGGAGAATGAAGAGGAGAAGGAGGGTTGTATACTCCTGTAGCTGGAAATGATTTAGGAGGATTGTATACACCTGGAGCTGGAGATGGTTTAGGAGGAAGAGAGAAGGAATGTAGAGTAGTGGAGTACAGGTAACCAGGGGAGTATACATCTCCAGGAGCTATATTCTCGTACTGTAGATACACAATATTATCATAAACAAACTTTAGAATGAATATCAGGATGAATATCAGGATGAATATCAGGATGAATATCAGGATATCAGGATAAATACAGGATGAATATCAGGATGAATATCAGGATGAATATCAGGATGAATATCAGGATGAATATCAGGATGAATATCAGGATGAATATCAGGATATCAGGATAAATACAGAATGAATATCATAATGAATATCAGGATGAATATCAGGATGAATATCAGGATGAATATCAGGATGAATATCACGATGGATATTAGGATGAATATCAGGATAAATACAGAATGAATATTGCAGGATATTAGAATGAATATCAGAATGAATATCAGGATGAATGTCCGGATGATTATCTACCTGATGGGAAGGTGTATCAGGAGAATCTGGATCCGGATGAAGAGGAGGTACCCGGGATATGTTTAGGGGTGGGAGGGTGGAGGGTAGGGTGAGAGGAGGAAGATGAGGATGAGGATGAGAAGGGATGAGGTTGGGTTGGGATGAAAAATTAGTTGCATGGAGTCCAGATTGTCTTGCATCAAGGATATCACAGTTTACATACATAGGTAGGGGTTGCATCTCCTGGAACAATTAGAAATTAATAAATAAAAAATGTACAAATTATTTTCGCACATGAATTTATTTCATTTTTTTCAGGTTGACTCTGTATTTTTGAAGTTTGTACCAAATATTTAGATCGATTTAGATTATTGGATATGTGAGCTCTAAAGGAACTTAACAATTGCCTGTAACTCCTGATTTTCTTATCAAGCCTCTAAAGTTTAAAATATCAAATATTTAGACCAGTAGGTTGAAAAGGTTAGAAAATTAGAGTTTGAGTCAATACATCAATTCTTTATGATTACATTTTGTTTAGCAATTAACGATTTCTCAAACTTTGTGAGGAACCTTTTAAAAATACCTCAAAATAAACCAACTTAATGCACATAGGTTTAATATTTATTACCAGATTAACATCGTTAAGGGTTGCAGATGATTCCGCTATCGAGGGCCGGGACACCTGGGAGTAGGCAGATACACTGAAAAATAAATATATTTAGTTTTTATTTTACAAATATTAAAAATGAACCTTTTTAATCTTAGTTAATTACAGATTTACAAGGAAATGTTAGAAAAAATTAGAAAATTGATTGTTTATTGAAATCGATTTTATTTTAAAATGTCTTGGAGAAATTTTTCTTTCTTCGCGATGAAATATTTAAGGGGTTGTTTTTGGCTAAGTTTTAAGTGACCTTTCATTCATAGAGTATCATGTCTGATTCACAATGATACCCATAAATTTGTCCAGACTGAGTAAAAGATATCGTCTTTTTACTTTCTTGGATAAATGTTGAATTCTAATTTGCTTCCATGGTCTTGGCATCTCGGCTGCTAAAATTTATCAAGTTTTTAACTAGAAACCGCTATTAAAAATCGTCAAATTACACAGAGATAAGCTAGGATATCTCAGTCATTCTTGTTTATACTTCTCATCTTGAAGTTGGGGTCACTTTAAACATAATTTATGCAAGAACTGGAACTATGTACGGGCTATGTACGTACTACTTATGTACTGCAGTACCCGATCCGAAGGAATCAAATCTTTGCCACAAACTAAAATTGTCTAATGTGTGTATCTTAGCAAACCGTCAATGCAATTCTTTGATATTTCAAACTTAGATTATTTGATTTAACAAAATGCTTAGTTTGAAATATCTATGACACTGATAATTGTGTCCTAATCTATTAGTCATTAGCCAATAGCCAAGTAAAGCTGGACAGTAGAAGCAGGTTGGATCTATGTGTATTCTACAGATTCTTTATATTTGGATAAATGTTTTTCATCAAAATCAAAATCTAAGCTGGTTCGTATAGCTTAATGTCATTTATTATTTTTTCTTTGAAATCGGTAATTGCGTATTTTACCAAAAACTAAATGGATGATAACATTTTACAAGGAAATGACGAGGATTTCTTTCCCCGATACAGTTTTAAGGGACAGACCGGCTATGTAAGGTAGTTGAACTGAGTATGCAGTGTTGTGAACCAATCCTTTAGGATTCATTTGAGACATATAAAACTTTTTAAAGATCTGTAAATCCTGAGTTTGAGCGCAAAGTCGACTTTCTAAATCGTACTTTTGGGATACGTTTTCAGAATTGTTTTTTTTATTATTAAATAACGACGACAAAAAAATGAAAGCAAAATTCTACAGTAAACTTATTAGGTGTTTAGGAACATGTTTAGAAAATAAAAATTAATCTTATTATCGAAAATAAGTAATCTTGTTCAATTATTGGTTTCAATTTTCTCATTATTCTAGTTTCTAATTATTTACAAAGATTTTCTGCAGATTTTCTGGAATTATTATTGAAAAGACGACATTTGAAGAAATCTGCGAACAAATTCATAGAAAATAAGAATTTCAATATAATAATGAAAACGAAATAATTGATTCTAGCATTGATTTATTGACAAATTTGTTTTGAGTAATATGTTCCTAAACATCTAATTTGATTACTGTAAAATATTTACTTTATTTTTCGTCGTCGTTATTTAATAGTTTAAAAAAACCGATTCTGAAAAGGTACCCACACAAATGAGTTTGAACGTCGACTATGCACTCAAACTCAGTAATTTTACATGGTGGAAACGTTTCATATGTCTCAAATAAATCCTATGTCTCAAATAAATCCTAAAGAATTTGTTCACAACACTGCATACTCAGTTTAACTACCTTACATAGCCGGTCTGTCCCTTTAAATCAAGTAATGACTAATGATGAGAGCAGGCCTTTCAAAATTCATTTCTTATCCTTTTAGATTTTGTTCAATGTTTAACATAGTCTTCCGTCCAACATGATTTTTTACTTAATATAAAATTAAGGAAAAATTAGAAAAACAATTAAAAAGAAAGCAATGGTAACGATGACACAATTTAGCCCCAATTAGGATCCTTATGATGTATGAGTAAACAATACTAACCCTGTGGTAGAAGCTACTGAAGAACTCCATCTAGATGTTGTTGAATCATCTGTCGGAGATCCTGTAAATATTTATGTCAATGTAGTTTAGGGGTTCACAGGTCAAAACTTTAGTGTTTTAAATTAACCAGTTATCCGTATCTCTTGTTGTCTAAAGGATTAAATCAATTCCTCTTAGATATCCGGTGGTTGGAACCCGTGGCTGGCACACTCCTGTATGCCAAGTCCATTAGCGCCTGATCCAATCAGGGTTCAGTCATGTGTTTGATGTCTATTCTGAACCAATAGAAACATTTATAGTAACATTTATCTTTCTATCTATCTCATTATCCAATCAGAGTTATGAATCCTACAATCGGCGCTATCAGTAAATGGAAATATTTACTTCTACTGAAACTATAGTGGGCAGGAGAAAACTACAATTGAGGAACCATGCACAAGATCCTGATAAAATTGTTAAAATGGATTTCGAGATCAAGCGTTGTATATTGGCGCCATCTCATACAAAAGGTTGGACCTTTAATCTAATTTTCAAGTTTCAAAGTCAGTATTTTTTATTTTAACGGACGCATCTTCAGAGTTTGACTGTTTTTGGCCATTTTGAACGTAAACTAAACGGTTTTGTACTGTTTAGTTTATACAAAAAGAATAGAATATATATTAGAGTGGAATTTACTAGAAAAAAGTGTAAAACGGCCATTTTGTTGTACTATTTCCATACTGCAGGTGTACTTCATATACGTGTGCTATATAACCTTTTGGGCCCTGGAACATCATTTTATAGAAAATCTAAAATTAATATTAAAAGAAAACCAAATTATGAAATAGGCTGGTTTCATAATTGACCAATGATTATTTCACATAGACTCTATGCCTTTTACTTTACAAACGATGATTTTCCGATATAACTGTAAATCAAATGATGTTTTTTATTCACCTAATTCATTTTATAAAGTTTTTTTAACAGCTTTAAAAAATTCGAAATTGAAATGGATAGTCTAGGGAACATTGCAGTATTAATGAATTCTACTACATATCATTTGTGAACATTTACATGATTTGTACACTTTGAACAAATTTCATACCGAGGGATTGTCTAAAATCCACTTTAATATATATTCTATTCTCTTTGAGTTTATATATATACATATCTTTTAACATCTATCATGAAACAAAATCGTAGAAAAGAATTGAGCTAATTTGCCTAAAACTCAGATTTTCAAATCCCTTTATCTTTGCAACCCAACATATAGTAAACCGAAGAGATTTCAAACTATGAATTCTGTTGGATAAATAATTTAAGTTTGAAATATTTAAAATCTACACCATCAGGTTGCAAAGATATATGGATTTGTAAATACGAGTTTGTGGCACAAACTCAGTTATTTTATTTTAAAGCTAAAGGGTATAGAAAGGTTCAGGGTTAAGAATAAGGGGAAAGTCTTGAGTACAAAGTAAAAAAATAGAGTTTCTTAAAGAACATTTTACATCTAAGTACGGGTATTTTTCCCAAAAAAATCAAAGTAAGTTTCTATATAAAGAGCTGAAAAATGTCAATATAAAACATTACTTTGCAAATATGCAAATTGCAGAAAATTTCGCCTTAAGAAAAAGCGCTGACATATTGCAAAATGTTTGTCTTGATGAGCTCTTTCTGAATCTCAAAAAAGTTTCATATCTCTTAGAGGTCCTTCAAGCATAATGAGGACCTTTCTAAAAGTAAAAAAAAAACGAACATAAGTTATTGCCCAGCAATCTAATCGAATCGAAAGAAAATGTTGTATTGTGTAATGTGATGGAAACCCTCTAAATCCTTTAAGATATTGTCATTCTTTAAGAAAAAAGCATTTATATAGTTTAGTTTATTTCTATCGTTTGATATTTTATTCACTTTATAACAAAATTTAAGAAAATGTTTACATATTTTCGGCAGACATTTTGTTTCTTGATTTTTGTACTGACGAGTGACGGATCGGATTGATCGGCGACCGAATTCAATAAATTTAAGCTAAGTCGATGAACTACAGTACAACCTGCATCCGGTTCAAATTCTGAATCACCGATTCAAAGTTAAAGATAGATTGATTGATTGATGATTAGATAGATACCTACCGGCGCAGTAGGAATCTATCTAATTGGTTCAACTCTGTCCCAGAAAACATGAATTTTTTTAATTAATCCCCGAAATATTTAAATTAAATGAAGCTCAACAGAAATTTCGTGATTTTCTTCCAGTGCTGGTTAATATAATGTTTTTTTTTTATCGAAATACAAAATATTTTGATATTTTGCGATATATTTGGTAGCTATCAAAATATCAAATTCCAGTAAATTGTCGAGACTTATTTTAGTCTCAACCTTTCCAAATATTTGGCCAAATTTGGACATTTTTCAACAAATAAAACATTTTAGTGTTTTTGAACTTTTTGTAAACAAACTTTAACAAACTTTTTGCCACAATAGAGAGACTAAGAGCCAGAAACGGTTCCGGGATTTGTAAAACAAAAAAATTAGATGTTTTCTAAATAGTGAGTGCACAAGAAAATTTTCCATATTTATGATTTTATTTTGACAAAAAAATACATATATTTTGACGTACTTTGGAATTTTTATCCCAAATGTAATCAATAATAATTAAAAACAAATATTTCAAACAGTCTCTTTAATATCTGTGAAAAAAACCTTTAACCTGTTACCTGATTCTCGCCTGCAGTAGATTGAACAAATTCTCAGCTCTTCTACACTTAAACGCATATATACCAGGACCAGTAGCACATCTAAATATATCATATGTATCTTCTGTATATATACATTGCTTGTCTGTTTATCTGTCTGTCTGTCCGTTTGTAAATGTCAAAACGGCGGTATCAATCAGGCCCAAATTTTGTGTGGAACCTCAAATGAGACCAAGGAAGGTTTATGAATGGTCAAAATTTCAAAATTTGCCTCCAACATAATGCGATTTTCATATTTTGAAAATCCACGAATTTTTTTGTGAAAATCCGCGGATTATTTTTGTTTTGTTTTACGATGTACACAAAGAGAACATGTTCACAATATGAAAGGAAGATGGGAGCTAAGCGACCTAATAGCCTAGTGTACAAAGCCTAGTTATCTAGTTACCTAGTTACCTAGTTACCTAGTTACCTGGATACCTAGTTACCTAGTTACCTGGATGCCTAGTTATCTAGTTACCTAGTTACCTAGTTACCTGGATCAAAAATCGTTCACTAGGGCGGACCCGTCTAGTATATTACAATTTTATAAAATTAAAAATTAAAGTTACTGGTAATATGAACAGCTAAAAAACTTATATTTGCCGAAAAATTGATGGTTATTTTATCTAAAATTCACCTGCGACCAGATTCAAAGCTGAACATTTCTGCTTCAAACCCATACCTCCTAGAAAGTAAGCAATGACATGTAGTTAGATAGAATGAAATTCAAAACTATCAGCAGTTTCCATGGAAAACTAGGAGCTTCTATAGAAAACTAGCAGGATCAATAAAAAAGCTAGCAGTTTTAATAGAAAAGTAACAGCTTCAAATAGAAAACTAGCAGCTTCAATGGAAAACTAGCAGCTTCAATAGGAAACTATAGCGCCTTTCATTGATAACTAAAGTATCAATAGAAAACTAGCAGCTTCAATAGAAAACTATAGCGCCTTCCATTGATAACTAAAGTATCAATAGAAAACTAGCAGCTTCAATAGAAAACTATAGCGCCTTTCATTGATAACTAAAGTATCAATAGAAAACTAGTAGCTTCAATAGAAAACTATAGCAGCTTTTATTGAAAACTAGCAACTACAATTAAAACTAGGAGCAGCTTAAAAAGAAAACTAACAGCTCTACATATTTTTGATGATAAACTATAAATGTTGTACAATGGCGTACCAGTAAGGTTTACAAACAAACAAAAAACTTTTTCTCAAAAATTGCATTTATCCACCAGATGCCTCTCAAACTAAAGAAGAAATGCATTTTTTCTAGTTTTTTTCCGTCGAATACAATATTTTTATCTAAAGAAGGATTTGAAGAAAATCTCATTAGTTTTCTTAGTAGCTTTTTCTTAATTAATTGCTCTTTAACAAGATTAATTGCGTTTCAATAAAATACAGAGATAATCCTAAAACAAGATCATTCATCGACGACATTTATTTTCTACCAAAACAACCCTAATAATAAGAACTTTACGTACCGTAAAGATTTAAACGGCCATTTTAACGGATCTTTTCCTTTTTGATACAAAACTGGAGCATTTATAATTCAACCATCAACATTCTTTAGAAACTATCATTCTCATTTATCAAGAAAATGATTTAAAATCTGGGAAATGGGTGTTCGTAAACTGAATGCATATACAGTACATGTTGTACGAGAAAAAGGGTCATTTTGATAGAGTGGATTATGTAAAATTTACATTTGCTTATTTCTGAAAACAGGTGTAGGTTAATTAAAAAAAAGAAACAAAGTAAAAAAAGTTGTAATTATTTACACAAGTTTAATTTTTTTTTAATATATAGCAAAGTGCCTGAAAAAGGGCCATTTTGATAGAGTGGATTATGTAAAATTTACGTTTGCTTATTTCGTTGTACCGTCTGGATCATGTAACTATTAGAGTGGGGTAAATGTCAGGTTGCATATGTATAACGTTTAAAAAATTAGAGCTTGACGAATAAAAACAGCAAATTGTTTCAAAGATCAAAGTCGTGGGACATTGATTGCAAAGATATAGGGATTAGAAACTTTTTGTTAAAAATCATTTTTTTTGTTTAATGTCCAAGAAATGTTTGAATTCAAGTATCCCGGAATTATATATTTCCTAGTTCTATTTCTGTGATTTCTATTTGTCCAGGGCATACTCTAGACCCCATCTGAAAATATTCTAAATTTAAATAATTATTTTTACACGATTGTATTTCTAAATAAAAATTGAACATTTGCCACAAACTCTCATTTCTCATATCTATAGAACCTGAGGTTGGAGATCTTTCATATTTGAAACTGTAAATTCTGTTAGATTAAAGATTCAAAGAATTTCACCATCAGCTTGCAAAGATATAATAATATAAGAAATCAAAATAAATTAGAGTTCGTGGCATGTATTCAAACCTTATAGATTTTAGATTTCGATTATTATATATTTTTAAAATTGTAGAAATATTGAATTATATATTTAACCTCATCAATATTGAATTATATATTTAACCTCATCAATATTGAATTATATATTTAACCTCATCAATATTGAATTATATATTTAACCTCATCAATATTGAGAACTGTGAATATATTTGAATGAACATCATTGATGTCTAGTTTACTCGCTACACAGCCCATTCTGAAATAAAGGAATATATAGATAGACAACAGATAGATAGATAGATGAATAGATCATGTTGATCTTACATGGATAAATAGATAAATAGATGGATAAAATTTATTGATCTTGTGGATAAATAGATGGATAGATGAATAGATCATGTTGATCTTACATGGATAGATAGATAAATAGATGGATAAATTTTATTGATCTAGTAGATAAATAGATGGATAGATGAATAGATCATGTTGATCTTGTGGATAAATAGATAAATAAATGGATAAAATTTATTAATCTAGTGGATAAATAGATGGATAGATTATGTTGCATCTTGTGAATAAATAGATAAATAGATAATCAAATTTATTGATCTAGTGGATAAATAGATGGATAGATGGATAGATTATGTTGATCTTGTGAATAAATAGATAAATAGACGGAAAAATAGATGGATAGATGAATAGATCATGTTGATCTTAAAAGGACAAATAGATAAATAGATGGATAAATAGATGGATAGATGAATACATCATGATGATCTTGTGGATAAATAGATAAATAGATGGATCAAATTTATTAATCTAGTGGATAAATAGATGGAAAGATTATGTTGATCTTGTGGATAGACAGATATATATATGGATAGATTATGTTGATCTATAGTAGATAGATCACATAGATCCAGACTGCTTTAAAATGTTGCTTAAATATAAGACTGGGTCGACGTGGGGTTTGATTTACCTTACTAACTCAAATATACTTTTAGTACACTGACATTGGATATTTTTAAACTATATAATCAATTTTTTATCTCGAGTTTTTTAATAAGTTATTTTGAAAATTCTCAGATTTTTGAGAGAAAAGTAGCAACCTTTGGATCAATGTGAAATAGATTATGTTGATCTAGTGGAAAGTTGGATGGATAGATTATGTTGATCTATTAGATAGATAGATTAGGATGCACTAGTGGATAGATTATAATGATCTAGTAGATAAAGAGTTCAACCGACAACTAGTTTAAATTCCACTAGATAGATAGATAAGTAGATAAATCAAAGATAGAAAAAGCTTGGATAGATAGATAGAAGTTACGCTACACTTCACATATTGATGAACAAGCACACAAAACAGAAAATATTGTTTTAAATCTAAATTTCCCAGATTTATTCAAAAAATAATTTGTTAATTTATTATTATTACCAATCTCCCTTTTATATTTTATATTGCGTATTTTTCAGATCACATCTGGCTTAAAATCCTTGATTCGTTAAGTTTAGAATACACAATTAAACAAACTTAACAAAAAAATTATTAAAAAAACATATTCACCAATTAAAAAATTATTATAATAATGTACGGGGTTTGTCGTAAGTGGTAATTGTAAAAAAAAAACATTTCAATTGTCCTTTTAGACAATGTTTTTTTATTTTCGTCCTAATAGTAACGAGTTTTAAGATTAATACGAATTAAATGCATGATTTGAATTTACAGTTTACATTTTAGTTTTTATGTTCAGGCTTAATAATATGCTAGTCTTTTAGAGCGTTTCGCGCCCTAATTCCTATTATCAATTTTAGTTTTTAAATATTGCTCCGAAATTTGTCATTTTCAATCGTTCCTAGGGGTCATGTAAGTTGCCACAACAAATTCGGGCCTGATTGCTTCAACCGTTTTGACGTTTATTGGACACAGACAGACAGACAAATAGACAAGGTAAATATGTATTTATATAAAAAACATCATATATTTGCAATGTTTGGCTGTTAAAGAAGGTTTTAAATAAAATAAAAACATTTACCTCAATTAATCCTAATTTTGACGTAGAACCATCATTTCATTGAAGTCTGAACATTTTTTTAAACACTTTTTGTAACTTGTTTTTATATATGTATGTGTAAAGTGTAAAGTATATTATGTAACTTGTAAAATATGTAAACTTTTAACTGTACAATACAACGTAAAGTGTACTTAATGTGCTGGTACATTTTATAATATAAATATTAAAATATTGATGTTTACATTGCAAAATGTTAGATATTTAATATTGTCTGGAGACGAATATACGTTGTGGATGGGTTGAGGCTGCGAGGAATCTGCACATATCAGCTACTTCACTTCTATATCCTCTATATAACTATATCAGCTGATCAGCTGATAACCTCCCCCGCCTTCCCCCTCCCTTGTTCCGGCCTCCCCCCCCGTCCTCTCTTTCTAGTTCTAGCATACGAGTTGTTTTATAAATNAATTCCACCAGCATAATAATATGTATATGTAAGTCTAGTCTTGTAACTTATTTATGAAATATGTAAAAAAAAAAATGTGTTTTTAAGAGGAGAAATTTAAAAACCCTAGAAATATAGGTTTTAGGAATGTATCCCCGAAATTCTTAAAAGAAAGTTATCAATTTATTGTTTACATTTTTTAATTAAGTGGTGGTGGATTATTATAGCATTTGTGACCATAAATTATAGGAATAAAAATTGTATATTTTAAACAAATAAGAAAAAATGGGGTTTAGTGTATGTGAAAAAGAAATGTGTATAAAAATAGGCAATTTTACGCATCTTTTGCCTAATTGCTTGTTTTACTCTTCTCATAAGTTTGTAAACATAGCATGTGTACTCTGTGTATACAGCATTCAAAATTTCAATTTTTCTTTTCTAGAAAATAGAATCCGTTTCTGTTTCTTAGGTTTGAGTTTCCAATATTTTTTGATTTTATGAAGTCTTTTCGAGGGAAGTTTATTTCCTTTAAATTTAAATTAAATTTTAAAAAATTGACTTGTACTCGCGTCCATCTTCTATTTCAACGGTGAACATTTTCTCTTTGTATACATTGTAAAACAAGAAATTCATAAACCTTCCCTGGGGTCATGTGAGGTCCCCCACAAAATTTAGGCCCTTTCGGATTACCCGTTTATTGGATACAAACACACAAAGTTACTGACAAATATTTAGAAAATTCCTATATTCTTAAGGGGAGTATGTTTAAAACCCAAAAAAGCTTCCACTGTTTTTATAGGACTTATCAAGATCTAGGAGACAAATTGGAATATATTTTTTAAGTTCAAAAGTTCAAAAAGTTTCATCGTCGATATTGAAGTAAGACTTTGTAGCTTAAGGCTAACTCGACCAAAACTTCCAACCTTAAATAAAAATCTAAACAATTTTTATGAAAAATTCGTTAACTTGGTGGATTTTATAACTTGATATCTCAGAATTTCCTTAAATATGAGACGAGAGTTTATGCAATTATAGTTGTACTGAGTAAAAACTTATTTTCTCTTTTCTTGAACATTCATGGAACTTATATAATCCATATATTTTAAATTAAATAAGACATTTTTCTTGAAATTTACAATTTATTAAATATATCAAAATGTTTAAGTCAACTAACGTCATTTGATGAAAATACTAACCTTAAAATTCATTCTTAAATTTCCTTTCACTGAAAAGTTAAGAACGAATACCGAGTATTTTTACGCTAAAAACTGACGAAATAAATATTAAAAAAATTTAAGAAACATGGTTTGAACATAAAATAACAACTTTTTACCAGTTTCTAAAAATTCAATTTTCATGAGAATGTTACACTCATAAAACTTCATTAAAATCAAGAGTATGTTTTAGAGGAAGAGTTCATGTTTGTTGATAAAATTTATATCAATTTATAATTTTATTAGAAAATTTTATTATTATACTATATAAAATAAATACTATGATATGCTGTTTAAATTTTTTCCTTCTTTAGATATAAAATGCTATATTGGAAACTAGCTCAAGTGCCCGGAGTTGTCCGTGGAATCTAAAAACACTTTAAAAATTCGAATTTTAATAAATAATTTTCGAATACAGAAAAAATCGAATTTCAAGGAAAAAAAAAATTCGATTTTTTAGCCCATGTCACCCTGGGGTAACGATGAGTTTCCTCTTAAACTTTTAGCCAATTAGGTCCAGCCGTTTGTTCATGCAAACAAAAATATGAGCGAAGGAAGAGTCTTAATATTTCTTAGATAAGAAACATTATATTATTAATATTTAAGGTAAACACCACCGAGCACGAGCCATAGTAACAGATTAAAAATAATTTACATTTTAAATCTTATGACAAAACTTGATTGATTATTCCCCTATTAAAGATTTAGTCAGAATCTGAAAAAATATTATGATAAATATCCTGCAACAGTTCACCACATTGATAAATATTTTACAAATCTAAGTAAAAAATAATATAAAAGCTTTAAATATATAAAATGGTAAATGCAACAATTGTACTGGGAGTAAATGATAATATTGCTGTCTGTATAAATACAAGGATTACTAGAAGAGTCCATAATTACTGGATTCATCAATAGTTGGAAATGTCAAGTTTAATTCAATACTTCAGAAAAATACAAATAATCCAGGCTAAATAAATGGAATCAAATGAAAATAAAGATAAATACATTCTTTCATTCAGTACGAACATGATTTAGAAAAATCAAAAATCAAATCTTTCAAGTTAATACATTCATAACAATCAATAACAAGATTAACTAATCATTGTTAAATAAATCAATCAATCTGTTTTTGATGACAAAGCTCTTCTTCTTTATTTGAATTAGTTTTTTCCACATTTCTGAAAACAGAACAAAAAATTATTTTTACTATGAATTGATATGGTTTTTTGTTCAGAATTAAAAATAATATGAAATATATACATTCAGATGCATTGTATGTAAGAGAGAAAAATAAAATTTTAAGAAATATTTTAATTTTATGGACAACTAGTTAATGTAATATCTGGTCAACTAGATAACTGGAACCTGATTTTTCATCATCTAATTTTTTTCTTTATTCAATTATTAGGACAAAATAATATAATTATAAAATTAGAAATTTTTTTTGGACTTAGTAAAAATTAAATTACATTTACAGTTGTGTCTCATAAATTTTAAAAAGAATAATACAAAAATGCAGTATATAAGGAAGCAACAAATACAAATAGTTGATGAAACTAGAAGGTGTAAGTGTATAAAACTAGAATAAATAACTAATTAGATATGTCAAATGAGAAAATGTAATACATAAATAAAGTATTAAACACAAGCTTATATTTTTTTCCATCTCAAAACTCCCTCTATTTCTAATCTTATATCTCCTCTCCAGCCCTACCTCACTCCGCTAATCTCCTTTTGATACCAAGTTTCCCTTAATAAATGTTTCCCTTAATAAATGTTTTCCTTTTCTTATATTTTTGTTCTATTTTTTCTCTTAACGGTCAACTTTAATTCCCCCCCGCCTCGCATCCTTACATTCTTAAAATTATAACTTAATATTTTTCCAAAATTCATATGAGCACTCAACTATTCCATGTTCCACTTATTTTATTTATTTACTTTTTAAATTAGAAATTGAGCACAACTATGTGAAGAAACCAGATATAAAAATCTTTGCATCATTCTCGTTGCAAATTATTTTGTTATATGTACATTTAGTAACAAACAAATGCCAGTTATTGAATAAATAAGTAAAACTGATTCCTAATGGTATCTGATGCCAAATCAAAGCCATCATTTACAAGGGGGTTGAGGGGTATGTGTTCTGGCCGGAGTGTTGCACCATTATCAAGTAATAGACTAGATGGGTACGGGCTGCACGGGCTGATCCAATTAATGTGCAGGGATAGAACAAGGAAGTAAGAAATAGATAAGTAGGAGTATATGAGAGAGAATTTTTTACGGAGCCAGAGAACTCAGAGTTAGCAAAATATGAAAGGAAAAGAAAGACATAGGAGGAAAAATAGCGAAATATTCTAAAAATCAGAAAAAAATATCTTTTAATTTTCATGATTTAAAAAAAATGTCTGACACAAAAAAGAACAGAAGGACACAACTCAATTGTGTTTGAGAGTTCCATTTTTCTTTAAGACATTAGCAAATCAATGCAAATGCGTTTAACAAAAATAATTTATTGTCTATCTAAATTTAATAGCTAAAAATTAAGGAAAAATAGTAAGCAAGATGAGCCCGTGTTATCTATGGTCTATAGGGTACGGTACACCCATAAATCAAATATTTAATGATAAACCAACGGTGCAGAACTTCTCATATTCTCAAAATAATCAAATACCCCACGCCCCTGGTAAAAACTTGATCCTAAAAATGAAAGGTACCTGCTTATATTGTTTTTAAATGTTAGGCTTAGACTAGGCTTTACTGTTTTCTCGTTCTAAACATTGATAAATTAAAAGATTATTAAATAATGAATATTTAACAATTCAATTAACGAAACCATAAAAACTGACAATGGGAAAAGGAAAGTATCACGCCTTAAGTAAAAAAGTAAAATGTCGAGTCTAGGAAAGTTTTCTCAATGATCCAATTATAATTGAGAATTTAGTTTGAAATTTGAATTCGTAATTTTTAATTGCTTGAAAAGTAAATAGACCTATTTTATTATCATTTTATCATCGACCTCAAAGGTATGTAATGGAATAAAATAATGACCTGAATCTGACCCTGGAGAATATTTACATCTCCTCCGCCCTGGCTCCAACCCATTGCTCCGCCCTGACTTGACCCCGCCATTGCACATGCTCCGCCACTGGTACAATCTTCACTCTCGGTCTCAAGGTTAACTGTTAGCTCACTACACCCGGCCTTCTGATCGCATTTCATAGCTAAATATAAAACAAAAAATTAGACTACAAAGGTTGAAATAAATTGTTGTGCTAGTATAATTTATTTACTGAGGATAGTGTTACGTAGTCGAAATCAAGTCTATATTGTCCAATACAGTTCGGATCGTAAAATAAGTGCAAACATTTCAATTTAATAAACTTGTGTTAGCTTGACTAGAAATTCGGACAGCAATGTCAACCTAGATAAAGGTCGAGATTTGCCTCATTCTTAGTCTCCAGATTCTACCATTTTTAATATGAATGTGGTTTGATGTGAATCCTTTATGGCAATTTTTTCAGGAAAAGATTTCTCCCTTTTTAACGTAATATAAAGAACTAGGCTTCTTCACTCTCGCTCTCAACGCCTTTTTTTCTAGTAAATTTCAGCTATCAGTATCAACAGTAGCTTTTACGCTGCCATTTTTTTTTGTAATTTTAAATCGTATTTTACGGATTTCTAATTACCTCAAATTCCGATTTCTAATTCCTTTATCTTAGCAACCTAATGTCGTAAACCTTAGATATTTCAAACTATAATTTCTGTTGGAACAAATATACTAAGTTTAAATGTCAAAGGTTCAACTGAAAAGGTTGCAAAGATATAGGGATTAGAAAATTTGAGTTTGCGGCAAAAACTCAACACCTTTGCACATTTTTAAAAGAGAAAAATGTCTACATTTTTCCTGAGCAAAGGAATTGAGTCTTAACAACCCAATGTTGTAGACCTTAGATATTTCAAACTATGACTTCTGTTATATCAAACAATCAAAGTTTGAAATATCTAAGGTTTACGTAGTTTGGTTGTAGATATATAGGTAGTTGAAAATTAGGATTTGTTGCAAAAACTCAATTCCTTTGTATAACTTTAAGCCTTAATGAACCTTTCCTGGGGTAATGTGAGTTTCCTCAAAAAATTGGACCCGGTCGGTTAAGACGTTTTGGCGTATATTGGATACAAGCACAGTAATTGTTTACAATATAAAACTGTAGAATAGGAAGACGACATTATAGCTACCCTTAAGCTTATTTGATGTTGTTACAAAGAAAATAGTTTGACTAGTAACTTATAATATCATTTTATAAATTGAAATGGTCTGTTTACGCTGCACAATTGCTGTGTCTCGTGTTTATTAAACAATTTAGATACAAAAGTCGTCTTCTTATTCCAGAGTTTTCTGGTCCTCCTTCTCACTGAAAATAAATACCTGGTTCATCGAATAATCCTAGTTTAAATCTGTCAATATTTGTATTCTTCTCCACCCTCTCGTCAGTCTAATTTTAAATATAGATGTTACATAAGATAATGTGGGGGGGGGGGGAAGTTTTTTTGGAAAAGTAACTTGATTAGGCTTCGAGTTATTCAGGGGGGAGGACGTAATTCTTGAAAATATTTTCCCCTAATTACAGTAACTTGATTCATCGTCATTTGATTTAAATCACAACAAAAAAATGGTTTTAAAGATTTAAAAATAAAATTCACGAGTTAAATATTTATACTTAGATGGTGAAAGATGAACATCATGAACCTGTGCATGGTTCCCGAGGAGATGCTGACTGGCAAGGCTGAGCTGGTTGTTCAACAATTCAACTCTGAAATTAACACATTTTGGGGTTTCCACATTCAAAAAATTTACATCATATGTATTAGTGTAAAATAGTTTAAGTAGAGTAAATCATAAAAAAACGTTGAGAAACTTTTTAAAACATTCTCTAAAAAGTGGAGGTCCTAATCTCCAGATTTCCAAAATGTAGTCAGCCTTTTTTACCTTTAACATTTCCTAAGCTATTACCATATTGTTCTGAACTTCCAATATATTTGAAGATAAGAAGTCACATTTTGAAAGCCCGGAAGTCGTACGATCTTTTATCTAACCTTTATAGTTTACAATAGATTAAAGACGATATTTTTGTTTCTTGGGACACCCTGTATCTTATTTTAAACCTACCCGGCCACCTCGCGTAAATCTTGAGAGCGTAATCTGGATCCTGGCTTAGGAGTTCTGGAGGAGTATTCTTCTAGTGGATGATTGTCAGTTATAACTAGAATAAAAACAAACTATAATCTATAAACTTAAGCATTCAACAAAATATGAACCCAATATATTTTGTTGTACATTTTTTCTTCTGCCTTCATAAATTATTGTTTTATTTTTACAGTTTGATATGAGAAGTTCAGAAGAATTTTTTTTATATCAAAGACTTGGTAAAAAATCAAGTAAAAAGTATCAAAAAGACGGTACAAATTTACCACAAGATGTTCAATTTTCAAACAAGATATTCCACAATCATTTCCCCCGTTGAGAGAAAGGGAATTCAAAGCAATGTATATCCCTGCAGTTTAAGATGAACCTACCGATATCTGCTGGGTTAGTATGATAAGGATGAGTGTTCTCAGTATACCGGATTGATCTGTTTTCTAAATCTGTTTTCAATACCTTCATTCTCCTCCTTTACCGTAGGAATGTCATCATTAATCTTGATATTTGGACAAAAATCAACCATCTATTTTGGATAAAACGAAGAGGTTCAAGTAATCTTCCACAGAGCATTCTTTAGGCAAATAGAAATATTGCCCTAATTTCCAACTTCATCTATTGTTGATTGTAAGATAATAATAATTTATTTTAATGACAACTATTTTCCTGTAGTAAACGATGATCAACGTAACAGCTGCTAGAGCAATTATCAGTACAGCGATAACAACAGCTGTCGTGCTTCCGGTAGACATTTCATCTGACAGCGGAGAGTGCTCAAGAACCTGCCATAATCATTAATAAGTCAGTCAATCAATATATCAGCCAATTAAGCAATAAATCAAATAATTAATCTATAAATCAAATAATTAATCAATAAATCTAATAATTAATCAATAAATCAAATAATTAATCTATAAATCAAATAATTAATCAATACATCAAATAATTAAGCAATACATCAAATAATTAATCAATAAATCAAATAATTAATCAATAAATCAAATAATTAATCAATAAATCAAATAATTAATCAATAAATCAGCCAATTTATCAATAAATCAAATAATTGATCAATAAATCAAATAATTAATCAATAATTCAAATAATTTATCAATAAAATCAAATAATTAATCAATAAATAAAATAATTTATCAATAAATCAATAAATCAAAAAATTAATCAATAAATCAAAAAATTAATCAATAAATCAAATACTCAATCAATGAAGCAAGCAATAAATCGATTAATTAATTACTCACTTTATCCACGGATAAAATTCTTAAGCCATCAATTCAACAATCAGTGAATCCATTAATTCATCATTCATCAATTATTTCATCAATTCAACAATCAGTTAATTTACTAATTTATCAAATAACCATTCAGTTAACAAATCAATTCATCATTTATCAATCAATAAATCAAAAACGATAATCAATGAATCAGTATATGAGTAAATCAATACATCAATACATCAAAAAACCAATACATCAATACATCAATAAATCAATAAACCAATAAACCAATAAATCAATAAACCAATAAACCAATAAATCAATAAATCAATAAATCAATAAATCAATAAATCAATAAATCAATAAATCAATAAATCAATAAATCGATAAACCAATAAATCAATAAATCAATAAATCAATAAATCAATAAATCAATAAATCAATAAATCAAANATAAACATAGAAAACTTATATACTTACACCATTTATATATGTATTTATATCTTTGTGTGTGAATAAATCTTTATAATATAATAATATAATAATAAAATCAATTTCTAAGTTATGATTCATGCTCAAAAATTGTTTATCTTGTAAATATAGTTTGTGAATTAGTCAGCTATGTGTATAGACTAATTAAAGTCTCCACGAATCAAAAAAAAGATCCTTCAAGTCAGAATCTCCGAGAAAAATAATGACTCAGCACAAAGAGAGAAATTATCTATATAATATAACAAGACATTCATAAATATGTTGCAATTAGCCGGCCAAACGGCTAGACTGATTGGGCTGAAATTTTTGTGGACACTCATGGGTGGCCGGGGAGTGTCATAGGCTTAAAAAAAATTTTCAACGCTGGGCTCTTCAGCTCGTATTACATATTTACATTAATTGCATATTTATATTGGGATAAGACACTGCACAATTTGTTGCTATGTAAACAAAATACAATGAGGTCAATATCAATTTCTGGATTAGTAAAGTAATATATAAATACTTATCAACAATCATTATTGTTACAGTATGAGATTTGCATTCATTTATCAAAACATGACCGGGGTTAAACAAACAAAATCCGTCTTATGTAAGATATAGCAAAAATAAATCCAGTAAATAACCGATTATCGCGATATCTGATTATATGAATTATTAATGACCAGGCGTTTATTCTGATCTTATTATTAAAAGGTTTGTATTTTAAGTGACCTCGTCGTTATCGTCGTTTTTCTAACTTGAAATCTTCCTTCAGAAACATAAATATTTTGATAATTTACTCCTTTGTTTCTGAACTAGAACTAGTGATGAACAAGTCACTTAACAGAGAAACCTCAATTGAAAATAATCAATTTTCAAAGAAGAAATGATATTATATCTCATGCTTATTGCTAATACAAAGCATTTCACAAACCGAAAAATAATTATCCGAACATTTTTAACATTCCGACAAATTTTAATTATCCGAAATTTTATCAATCCGAAAACATATAAATCCGAAAACATAACAATCCGAAAACATAACAATCCGAAAACATAACAATCCGAAAATTTTAACAATCCGAAAATTTTAACAATCCGAAAATTTTAACAATCCGAAAATTTTAACAATCCGAAAATTCTAACAATCCGAAAATTTAACAATCAGAAAAAATGTGCCATATCACTTTTCTTACAATCATAATTAGCAAGGTAACTTTATCTTGGTAAAGTTAAAATAATTGTATATTCTAAATATTCTAAAAACACACTTCTTCTAACCTTGTTAATATCATACATATGAACATGAATGAAAAAATGAGACATGTTACATATCTATGAAATTAATATGTTGTAACATTCTTTTCTGAATACAAGGAAAAAGAATAAATTAACCAGTCTTAAATACAAAAAAAAACTTTTAAGGGTACCGTTGTGAATTGGACATTCCCCTTCGATAAATGGAGTAATTTGAATTCACGTCTAAAGTTCCATTAAGAACTTCTTTAACCCGTTAGTGACAATACCTGAGTAAGGGTTTGTACTCCACAATCCTGTCCTTCTGGACAAATACATCCTAGCTCTAGATCACAGATATGAAGATAGTTGGAGCATTCACAACTAGAATTCTCAATAGCGCTTCTAAACAATTTTTTTCATAAAAATTATTTATTTTTTGTCAAATCATGAAAAAAATAATGATTAAGATTAACCTGTGACATGTGTTGTTAACAAATCCAAACGGACAGAACATCTGACACTTCAAACCAAACCTAGAAAATCCTTATTATTACTAAAATATTTTTTTGGTCTGTCTTTAATGTAATATATTACAAATTAGACAAAAAAAAAAAATTTTATATTTCTCAGTTATTGAACTTTCCTATGAACTTCAAAGAACTTAAAATAGTTTCATTAAATTCTAATTTACCATGATTTCCTTTAACTATTATATTCTCCCCGATCTCCTTCATCTCTCTATATAAAGTAGCAATCTCTGTTTTTTTGTCTGTCCGTCTGTTTTTGTTTTGTTTAAGTTTGTATATCCGATCATAACTCTGATAATTGATTAATGATTACCTGTTATCCTTGCAGTAACATTTCCCGTCTACATTAGAGCACATCTCAGTTCCCTCTAGATCACAGGAACATGTTTCATCACAACCAGAACCATACCTAACAGAACAGAGGATAGGTAAATTTGTTGGTTTGTATAGATCCAATAAACGTCGAAACGACTTATTTGATAGTTTGAACTTTAAAGGACCATTAAGGTCCTGAAGTTGGGTTATAGCTGGTCAAAAGTCTCTGGTCTAGATTAAAAAAATTTCCCTTAAAATTATTTCATTTTAATTTAGTAATTTCTAACTTAATCAATTTTAAAATTTAAACTGGTTCCGTAACTAATTGAAGACTCAGGTCAGCTCAGGTTGACCCAATCCATCTCACCAGCTTAGGTTGACCCCCAACCCTTCTCACCATCTCAGGTTGACCCTAACCCTTCTCACCAGCTCAGGTTGACCCCAACCCTTCTCACCAGCTCAGGTTGACCCCAACCCTTCTCACCAGCTTAGGTTGACCCCCGACCCTTCTCACCAGCTCAGGTTGACCCCAACCCTTCTCACCAGCTCAGGTTGACCTCAACCTTCCTCACCACCTTGGTTGACCCCAAACCTTCTCACCGGCTCAGGTTGACCCCAACCCTCCTCACCAGCTTAGGTTGACCCCAAACCTTCTCACAGGCTCAGGTTAAACCCAACCCTTCTCACCGGCTCAGATTGACCCCAACCCTTCTCACCTGCCAGGTTTGCACGGAAAGCAGTCTCCAGTTACGTGGTTACACTGGAATCCAGAATTGCATGAACATTTCTAAAAATACAAGCTTTATGTAGTTCTTCTTCAGAAATATATATATAATATTTAATATAAAGTAAAAATAGCTCTATTATGCTCAATGGATTAACTTTTTATATTATCTGATTTAAATCTGACCTCCAGACAACCAGCTCCAAAGAATCCAGGAAAACACGAATTTTGGCACCTTAACAGATTACTATTTTTATTAAAAACAAACATACAAGCACTAAAAATGTTGACACAGATATTTTAAGAGGCAATAGAGTACATAAATATACCTGAGCCCCTGGTATCCAGGTGTACATGAGCAGGCACCAGTAACCTGGTTACAGTACCCACCATTCTCACATGTACATTCATGTACACAGTCGGGACCCCATCTGCCACCAGGACAACCAGATACCTAGATATTTACAATGTACATTCTACACATGTACATTCATGTACACAGTCGGGACCCCTTCTACCACCAGGGAAACCAGATACCTAGATACGTACAATGTACATTCTACACATTAGTTAAATTAGACATTAAAAGAGATAAGGTTTACTGTTAATATATCCACCTTCTTATATATCTACGAGTGTGCTTTTTGTTCAGCTTTCTGCCTGTCTTCCCGTTCACATGTCTATCTGTCTAATAATCTACCTGTCTGTCTATCTGTCTAGATTTACCTCACATCTGCCCCCTGAGAATCCTGAACTACAAGTACACTGTTCAGGGGCAGTACATGCTCCGTTTATACAGGGGCGGGTACAGTGGGGTACACAAGCTCCTTCATGTTCCTAAACAATAAAATAGTATACACACAGGAACGGATACAGGGGGGGGGCGGGTGGACATTCGCCACCCCCTGACAGATTCAGGGAGGGGCGTAGCCCCCCACTGAATTTGAAATTTTTTTTGTTCCTATTTTCAGAATAGCTTCTCAATAGCATGCTTAAGGGAAAGAACCCACGTGCAAAGCAGGAAAAATATCTTTTTGAGTCTTTTAAGTAAAAAAAATTTCGCCTGCAGCGCGATTTTTTTCCTAATAATGAATTTTTTTGTTCCTAAAAAATCTTGCCCCCCACCCCCCTCACTTAAATCCTGTATCCGCCCCTTTATACACAACGTGAGGAAACATATGGGGGGGGGTACACCTTATATTTGTATTATTTATTCGGACTGCTCTGGTTTATAATGTAAGTTGATTTGGTTGAATATTTTATAGAAATTTTAATTCCTAGACAAAGCTGGGTACCCAAGCTAGTGTAGTATAATATCATACCTTATATCCATCACAACAAGCTTTATTAATCACAACTCTGAGTAACAATGATACAATAATTTGAATATCATAAAAAGTTGAGACAAATCTTATCTTTTTCCATCCAAATAATGTTCTACATTCATCATTAGTGATTATTATTTATTGATTGTTCCTTGTAATATTTTCCGTCTTCCATTTTGTTTCCATCACAGTTTTATATTCAGCACATCTAGAATATAATATATAATAATATAATTTTAAAATTTATAATAATATACAAATGTAATATTTACAATAATGTATTGACATTTTTTAAAAACATTAAAAATGTCTTTACTTCTTTTCAAAGGTACACAAAAATTGTAATTTTTATTTTTTGTTTTTTATTTTTATACTCTGTTTTATTGATTTATTGATTTTTGTTTTAAGTACACAAAATTTTAATCTTTTTGTGATTTACGGTAAATCTAACAACTGATATTGAAACTTTTTTAAAACCCTATCTTTAATACTAAATTGTTTTTTAGAGTCAAGTTATTTTTATAATCATACTTTTCATAATTTGTTTAATCCTAACCTTACCTTAATGTTAATTGAGTCAGGCAGAACTTATATTCTTTAATTTGGGCAGCCTTAAAATAATGCTTTTTATGATTGGTTTCAAGGTATTTTTTGCTTAAAACTTTTTTGTCAATAAGGTCTTTGAAAACTGAAATTTTAACACATTTAAATCTTTATCGTTTCAAATTTAAATTTTAAAGTTTTAATAAAACAACTAATATTATGTATAATTAATAGATGCAAAATTTCTTGACTTTGATGATTTCGATCCAATCAGAAAACAAATGCACAAATAAACCCTTGGTATCGTAATAGGTCAATAAAATGATATTTTTTGTAATCTGATAGATTAACAAGTAAGAAAATTTGCGCTGAAATATGAATACCTGAAGATATGTTGTATTTATTGTTTTCGTTTCCACATCATTGTACGGGCAGATGTTTTCACCTAAAAGAGTAAAAATAAGGTTTAACAAGTGTTTCAGAATTCATTAAAAGAAGAGGAGTGTTCAGTGTTCATGAAATATGTATGGGGGTTTTTAAATTATTATCAGACAACCCGTCATTTAGTATGGGTTCATCTCCGGGGAGGCGATAGACTTAACTTTATGAATTTTTGTAAATTGAGTAAAATTTTTTACAAAAATATGTTGAAAAACACTTTCAAGATGAGAAATGGTTCCTTTAATATGTAACAGAGTTTTTTTTGAATTTTAAATCAGTATTATATCAGTAGCCAAAACTGAAGAAATTGTATTCTAGGATGCGCTGATGGTCTGAATAACCTTTAAGATCTGTTGATGTGGAGAGTACAGATCCTGAAGCATGAAGATACAGAACAAGGGAACAATATATACCCCTCATCCTAAAAATTCATCATTCCTCTGAAAACAAAATAAAGTTAATCTAATTTATACAGAATTAGCAAGGTCATACTTTTCATGACAAAATTGGCTGTCTTCTTGTCTTGTATTCAGTTCAGGCCCCTCCCCCTCCCGAAAAAAAAATCATTAACAAAACTTTAAATTCTGTTTATTCTAAGTGACCTTGAAAATAAAAAATTACATACTTCTGACTTCAGGTTCAGACTACCATCTTGCACCACCATCAGTTATAATTAAGCCCCCCCCCCCTCCATCCCCGTTGGCAAAATTTTAGCATTAAATACTTGTGTATAATAAATACGATAACTAAAATAATAATGCTTCAATTAATGATCAAATTAATTTAAAGTAAGTAAACGTAAAATTTGGTTGAGGAGATCAGAATATACCAAAAATGTAAAAACTTTCAAGTTTAGAAATAGCATTACATTGAAATACTACTGTGAAAAGGTTTAAAAGGAGCTAAAGCGCTTTAAACAATCCATGTATGAAAGATAACGATACGTGTTTTTTTTGCTGAAATTGTCAACACAGAGCTGAAAACTTTAGAATGGTGGATATCGGGATTAATGCTTGATCCACTCTTTTTGATAATCTCAAGATTAACATAATCTTGCAAGATTATCTTAAAAGTGTATGAAAAACGATAAAATTCATATTAATATTTAATCATCTGAGAAACTGTAGCAGCCAATCAGAGAACAGCGGGCAACCAATGAGAGAACAGAAATATTCTCATTGGAGAAAACAATTAACGGATATCCAAAGAGAGAGAAAAAGAGTGGATTAGGACTAAAATGAAAAGTTTCCACAGTGGATATTCGGATCAAGAAGTCAGGATTAAAGTTTATCCATTCTAAAGTTTTCAGCTCAGTACACATGAATCAGGGGGTAATTATTAACAGAAACAAAATTTAAAAAAATATTTCATGACAGTTTATATTATTTACTATATACATTTAATGATAGAATATTTTTAAAATCAAGTCTACAATTCTACATGTTTATATTTCACCCCATTCTCTGATCTTTATTGATAAATTTGTGAATAAATTTCGAAAATGATAAAATATTAAATTAAAACATTTAGGCGTATTTTTATTCTATTTAAAAAAAAACAAGTGAAAATACAGCAGCAATCAAAATTTTTGTTTGATGCTTTTTTCGACTTTTACACACTACTCTCTTTTGATTGGTTAAAAATCTCCTGATTTGACCAATGGGAGCCGAAGAATTGATCAGCTGATCATATCTTAATATTGCGCATTCGCAACATTTTGGTAAATGAGAATCATCTGTTTTGTCAGGAAAAAATGGCGGATTTTGATGCAATATATGAAGATCAAGAAGAAAATTTTATATTAGATGCCCCTACAATATCATTAATACCAGATCCAGTTACAGTGAGAGGAGCAGGAAATATTACAGTGTAAGTTTTAGTTTCTGTTCAAGTTTGTAAACAAACCTCGGTGTGTTGTTCTCAAATGTCTTGGAACTACTTGAACAAAGAAAGTAATTTTTTAAGCCTTAGATGTTCACATAAATAAATTTTGTTCAATCAATCAAAAAAAGAAACTAATTTTAAATATGGCCAATTTTTGGTAATTTCCTAGAGAACGATTCTATCAATTTGATACATGGATCTCAGGTAAGTCATGAATATGATTGGTCATGTGGCCGCAGCGCCCGGCCCCCTAGCCTGTCCTATCCGCGGCGCTCGGCCCCCAGCCTGTCCTAGCCGCGGCGCTCGGCCTAGAAATGGTCTTTACCTAACCTTACCCTGAATTAATAAAAAAAATAGATAATACTTGTGCTGAAAAATAAGTGGTCAGGTACAAAATTTATAGAGGGGGGGGGGGGGGGTCCAAAAATCGTTCTTTAGGACAGACCTCATTGGTTATTTCCTAGTGTATGATTTTTGTTGTGAAAAGAATATAGAACATGGAGACATCAAGGACTTATAACTTTTCATGACAATTATCGAAAATCATTCGTTTAAAAGATATACAGTTAAATCGCCAGTCTCATTTGTTTTCCCTGTTTTTTTTAGATTTGGACTCTCCAACAGGTTCGATATAGATTTCCCCAGTCAATTACACGCTAGGGTTGCACCAGAGGAATATAAAGTAAGTAGTTCAACAATATCTTAACTACCCAGTGCTTAGGATCCATTTAATTTTGTTGCGGATCCGTACTGGAAAAAAATGGATCCGGAATCAAATCCAGATCCGGAGCCAGGTCAATTCTTTAAGATTTACTGAATTTTTTAACAGAACAAAATTTTTAAATTTTTGGTTTTATTTTGTTCGCTTTTTTTTATTCTAAAACTTGATAAACCATTCAGAAATTAGGAAATTTTTTGTAATCTCTCTTTTTTCAATAGTTCAGATTTTCGTTTTAAGGTTAAAAAAGTTTTTTTTTGCAGTTTTTGATTGATATTGTGTCCCTTGGATTCGCAAGGTTTTAGCTTCCTGGATCCTTATTGATTAACATGAAACAATAATTCTTTTCGTGTTATAAACTTTAAGACTTCCTCTCTAAGTGGTTCCTCCAAACTTATTTTCGTCTTTTCAGAAATATCTTAGTTCAAATATTCATATATTTACTTTTCATGCTTTTCATTTATATTTGATTTGTAAAGAAATATATTTTACTAAATCTTCTTTCAGGCAACTGTAACACGAGTAAATGTGACTCTTAGAAAAACTCTTCCTGTAAATGTTCGTTGGTTGTTCTGTGGTTGTTTATGTTGCTGTTGTACTCTGGGCTGTAGCATGTGGCCGGTCATATGTCTCAGTAAACGAGTAAGTATTTAAAGGGATTTATATCTTTTTAAAGATGCCATTAATAAAATCTATTTATTATTAAGAACAAAACCCTGCTAAATGATCTCACCGGTCTGACGGTCCTACCATTTTGATTTCTGACCATCATCTATGAATGGTTTACACTGACTTTTGTTCCTAATTCCCGAAAAAAATGGATCCAGAACAAATTTTGTATTGCAGTTTTGGTCGGTATTTTGTCCCTTGGATCCAGATCCGTAGATTCGCATGTTTTCGCGAACCTGGATCCGGATCCATGAAGCCGGATTCTAAGTATTGGTAAAGACTCCTAACATTTAGTAAAGACGGAATCCTTGACTGTCGCGGCCGTCAACCTCGCATTAAATAGCATTATAATCCTCTCATCAGTGTGTGAAATATCTTATATGACTCAAAAATCCAAATAATTTCCTGGAACCTGAGTTTGTTGAAATCGTAAACAATCCGATTACCATATTATTTTTTTAAAAATTTAGACGCGGCATCAGCTAGAGAAACAGTTAGATTGGGAGAACAGTCATCTTTATTCTAAACTTGGATTAAGATGGAGGCTTGCCAGACAACGATGTGATACTAGTCTCATGATGGAATATGTAAGTTTTAAAAATTTTATAGGAAACCTTAATATTACTTAACATGAAAAAGATGAGTAATTGTATTCGATTAAAGGGGGTTGAGTTCTGTTATAAAAATAAGACATGTAATGATGCGCTCATTTTACGGCTTTGTATTTCAGAATTGAAATATTGAAACAATCATTGTCAATATCAATATTGTTCAAACTATAAATTTTCGTTTTTCTATATATGTGTTAATACTGATTATAAACTGTAGTGAACTACATCTTGAATCTTGATCAATGGGGTTTCATTGTTTATTTTTTTTTATACAATAATTTATTTTCACCTAGTTTCTTCTCCTAATTTATCTAAGACATGTAAAATTGTCGACCACGTAAAAGAATATTAGGATCAAAAATTTTATTTTAGGTTCTTCTGGTTGAGTTCATTCCCCGACAGAACCTGTTTATACCAGATTAAACTATCCGTTTAGATTACAATTTTTCAAAAATCCACCAAATCCACATTACAAAGTTGAAGCTGTATGAAACCTTCCAATCAGAAAGTGTTCAGTATTCTATAAACTGGTTTCTGTCTAGCCAGCAATACCCATCCTTCATCAATACTCTCATGCTAGTCTCTTCTTCTATTTATCGAATTTTTCAAGTAGAAGAATCCTTTAATAACGCAATTACTGTTGAAGTTACACAATATCTTATTCCTGCGGTATTTAGCTCAAGGGCATTATATTATTCAATATAGAGTTATCATATCATTCTTAGCTTTGTCGTTAAATCTAGAAAAAGCCGTCCAATACTGAGTACAGTGTCGTGAGTCTAATACTCCTGATCTGGAAAATGCCGGGCTCGTGTCCAGCTTGATCTAGGTTAAAACATTGATCCTGGCTTTTAGACTGGCAGCACAGTTTAGAATTAGGGAACTACAGTACATATACATTACAAACATGTCAGGCAATTATACAATACTTGTTTTCTTCGGATTCAGACCTCTACAGTATTGAAGTAAGTGAACGAAAAAACTGGACACTAAGCCGTCTACTACAGAAATCATAGAGTTCTTAAAATAAACACTCTTTATTTAATACCGAATGAAAAATTTCTAGGGAAACGGGAAAAATTAACCTATTTTTAAGAATTCGCAACAATTCGCAAGGAACTTTATTTTTTCTTAGTGTCAATAACAACAGAATTCAGAAAGCTGAAGATTAGCTCATAGTGGGAAAATTAATTAAGTTTGTCTTATTATTCACGAAATCGAGGATTTATCCATCTTCGTTCATGAAATTCCTTAAATTGAAGGGTAAATTAAAATTATGTTGGCGGTCTGTCTAAATTTGAATCTCAAAAAGTGTCCTACATAGCAGTTCTTAGTATACGGCCAACCCCTGATAGAAAAGATCAAATATTGACAGACTGAAACGTGTAAAAGGTAAAACCCATTAAAGTAAAAACGCTAAATCAAACAGAATTTATAAAATCACCAATACTTGTATTCTATTGGTCCTTTTGAAGGGAAAATAAATATTGTATATATGCCATGTGTTGGAGTGTGAATAAAATAATTCTCTAATTAATCCTGATTTGATTTCCCACAAGCTCAATATGTTTAAACTTATTTTCACTGAAACATTGCTCAGGGAGGAATATTGTGCTAGGATTGCCATCATTTTTCAATTGTTAGCATACATATAACATATCCTAACATTTCTTAGCTCTTATTCTTAATCAAAAGCATCGTTGAATATCTTGGAAGTTTTTTCACAAAGTGTTGTAAATAAATTATTTGGTACAAAACTTACGTTGTAATTAAGTCGAAAACTTTCAATTAGTTTTTTAAAAAATGAATTAAACCCCCAAATTTTTTTTTTAAAAGTTGTGAATTTTCTGTTCCGTTGCATTTTTAAAAACTCGTTGATTTCTGGTTCACTGTTTATATACCCTGTATACAGTACACATCATTTTAATAACCTGGCTATCTAGCTTGATAACCAGGCCGGATCCATTATGAATGATTGTATTTTGTAATCTAATATCCCGCTAAACCCTGAACCAAGTGAACCCTGTATTAACCATTTTATGAATATGTAAACTTGGAATATTTAAAACCTAATAGAACTGTAATTTTGATAGTGTATGAATAGTTTCTGTGGAATTATTCAAGTTTGTGTTAAAGTTAAAAAAAAATCGGCAATTACAACATTTTTATCATTTGTCAGAAAAAGAAATTAAGCATTGGAGAGTAATCTCAAAGTTTAAAATGTAAAATAGTAGTTAATGAATGTTTTTAGTAAACAATCAGTTTTTGGGTTTAAAAATAGTTCAAGTTGTTAGGAAATGTTAAATTTCAGCCCGTTTATTGTGTATAATGGATGATAATGTATGTAATATATATTTATCAGTAAAAAAAAAATGGCTTGGTTCGAAGGATAATGTGATAATGCTAATTTTGTCTTAAAGAATTGTAAATTGATTGAGAAAGCGAGTGTATTTTATCTCAAGGGAATCTTGTATTCACATTTTCCTCAGAAAATTCTACAGATTTTTTTATTTTAGACAATTCATAGATTTTAATTTTCACATCTCAGCTTTGTATCTAAAAAGTTTCGAACAAGAACAAGTTTAACTCGTGTTTTCTAAACTAAACCAAGTACAGTACAGGAATGAAAAAAGTTGCCAACCCTGAATTGCCCAGTCGTTTAAGATGCGTTGCACTATGATTTTTCAAGATATAAAATTCCTATGATGTCATTGTTCTAAATTTTATTACCAATTCCTGAGATGCAAATTCCGCAATGTACATAATACATTATTATTTTCTGATCAAGGCACGGCATAACCTGCGTTTCGGGGGGGGGGGGGATAAATATATGATATTACAGACGTTCAGTATAATTATACAAATATAACTCAAAATTTAAAGCATTTAGAAATAGATTTTAAAAAGTTTACGAAGTATTTTTTAGAGGAGAGAAACGGACCTAAGAGTTTTTTTAACGAAATAGGTTGAGGTTATCAAAAGGACTTTAGTCGTATTTTCTACTGACTCTAATAATGGAGCGGCATGGCCGTTAGAAGCTTTGTCTGATCAAGACTCGAGTGAATAAGAGATGTTCATTTTAATCTCTTCAATTGTGTGGCCAATTTCTCAATCATTTAACCATAGGTACAACTATAGGTCGTATCTATCTATCTACACTACTCTGGTAAAGCGTAACCATAGTGTGACTGTGGTTCTGCCTATGGTAGAACGTCAAAGAAATTGGCCAGTGGTTTCTCTAAAATAAGTGACTGGCGCGTTTCTCCTGCGGACAAAATGGAGGGAAATTATGAGGATCAGATAAGTTTTAAGGAAATACTACAATATCTTGCTCATTTCTGATTTAATCAAGGTTTTAAAGGTCCATTTGTAAATTGAACATCTCCATAAATGAAAAGTCACTTTAAGATTATATTAAATTTTAACTATATCTGAATGGTACACACGAAGGAATTTGAAAGCAGTAATTTACTATGGATTACTGGTCTAACTGGTGCAACATAATCAACCTGTTCTAGTATAAACGTTTTGCGAAGAAAACCATTGAGATTCTGAGTTTCTTGAACCTTGTGTCTCAGGAGTCTCAGTGAGGAGAGGAAGGCCAGCCACAACAACTTCCGTCCGAGCCACATTCTCATCATTTTCTCGTCCGAACCACCTAGAAATCCTCGTCCTTCGATTACTATGTGTCTAAAAGTTTCTAATTCTTGTAGAGAAAACTATTTTTTGGCCACATTAGGGCATAACAAATGGATGGACTATAGTATTGCAATGATTAAATCATGTTGGAAACTTTAGAGACATGAGAATGATGTCGACCTTTATTTAGGTAAAACTAAAAACCCCTTAAAACTCTTCTGCCTCCGTAAGGGCCAACCTTCGCGATATGAAATAAATAGCAAAATATTGGGCATACCTCTGCCTATCATTATCCCCATGGAACCACCCGGAAAAAAATCTATGGTTTTCACTTTAATTAACAAAAAAGATTAAAGTTCAATAACCTCGGAATTATTTGCGACATTCTACAACAGGAATTTCTGGAAATACGCTTAAAAATGTGAACATTTTTAAGGACATAGAACTCGAAAACTTCAATTCTTAATTGAAACTTTTTTTCGATTTAATAAAATTCAATATTTCATTTATGCCCTAACGTGGCCCGATTCTTAAAGATAGTGTTATCTTGGAGGACTAGACACTTTTAAAGAATAATATTGGAAGGCCGAGGATTTAGAGGTGTTTAGAGATGTTCAAGATAGATCCTAAGTCACGATATTTGTTGCTTAGTCAAATAGAATGACAGAGTAAACATTCCATATCAAAGTTTTTCTGTTAAGAGTATTTTAATTTCCCTAAATATTTTTTTCTAGGTGTAGTTCAGCCTTAGAAAAGTGACATAGAGTCCATTAACTTCTAATTTGAGGCCATTAAGGCTATTTCTAACAAACTGTTAAGCATTTTGGCAATTTGGATATCCTGAGTCATTTTGTCCCAAAAAGGATGGAGGGGAGGGGGGGGGGTAATGCATCGTCTTCCTCTCTTTACCAAAACTTACCCTTTCTAGGGTTTTATCTTAAAAGCATCATAATTGATTTTTGACCTGGAGAAAAATGAAGGATTTTTTAGATCTTGTTTTAAAACCGAATGAGGAAATATTTGTGGTATAAAATCCATCCGAAAATATGGATTTTTTAGATCTTGTTTTACAACCGAGGAGGAAATATTTGTGGTATAAAATCCATCCGAAAAGTGAAAAGCAATGATTCCTAATTCTTAGTTTATTAAGTCATAATTTGACTGGAAAGTTAATATTTTCTCAAAAAAGAGTAAGGTATTAAATTAGATTGCTTGTTGCTTTTGATGCTTTCAAATGTTGGTCTCGATGCTTTCAAATTAAACTTAATTGATGCTTTAGCCTTCAATACAGGGCCAAAGCATCCAAAGTGTTGAAATTAAAAGACGCATAAGTTCCATAGGTACTTGATTGAAAGTACTTCACAATGTTTACATGTATAAGCCATGTTAGCCAGTAGATGTGCGTGTGTCTTTCTATGAGACTATTGAAGCAAGTTAGCTTTTCATTAGATATCTTTCTAATTTATGCAAAAATGATCTTAACACAGTTCTTGGCAGAAATTTATTTTCTATTACAAATGATTGTTCTGTCCAATGTTTGTTAAGAAACAAATGAAATATTGTGATGTCCCATTGGACCATGCATGGAAAGTTACGGTTTTACAAGAACTTTTAAATACAAGAACGAATAATTTATATGTTGAAGGACTCGATGATTACGTAATAACTGAAATGATAAATATGTTCTGTAATGAGTAATGATCAATGTCGCCTATTTGCGCATAATTTTGCATATTTTTCTTTTTTCTTTTGTAAAACTGTATATTCAAACTACACCATTTATATATGTATGTGTATCT